CATGGGGCATGTCCTTTAAGTTGACCCGGGTGGAAGCAGGCGAACCTTCTCTGGAAGAGAAGAAATCGTGCTACGGAACCGTGAACCGCCGCATCGCAAGGTTGAGTGTATTACAGAGGCTACCCAAGAGGGGTTCAGGATTAGAGTTTAGGTCTCAGGGTTTACGGTTTAGGATTTATGAGCTTCTTCGCCTAGCTTGACAGTGTCGGGACTCTCTTGAGTCCGAGTAGGTGTTTTGGGCTGTGGGGTGGCCCGCCCGCCGGCGTGGGGTCAAGCTTCAGCGCTTGGAGATTTCAGGTTTGAAGGATAAGGATAGGGCCCCCAAAAAAGCACATAAGCAAAATTAGGATAGGGATATCACATGTAAACCCCCTGAAAAGGAAGCCCAATAAGGTAGGGATATCCCGTTACAATGCTTATGCTTATGTGCTTTTTGGGTCCCCAAAAAGATTGAGGTCTGCCTTGAGTACTAAAGTTGAGGCTGAAACAGCGCCTCGATCCCAAACTCACAGCAAGCGGACCCTGCAAAACGATATCATGTCATTTGTGCAGCGAAGGTCCAGCGAAGCAAGCCACAAGGAGCCAATCCTCATGAGGGAGGCCTGCACAAAGCGCAGCTTTCAGGGTCGAGGCCAAACCTACGCGGATGAAGCAAGATATCCCCGGATCCACTACATTCCAGTGATCACGAAATAGGTTTGAACGAAGAGACCCGCGCCCGGTGAGGTTGAGGTAAGAGATTTTCGGAGTTGGCAACAAGGTTGTCCGTACCCTGAACCCATACACGTTAGTAATGCAGGAGCCTGAAAAATTATCAAGAATAAATTATCAATAATGTTCCTAAGGGCCGTGGTGCTTCATATTGTAGTTATACATAAATGCACCGAAAATTAGCCGACGGTGTTGGCAATGGCGATGAGGAGGCAAGGTCTGACTTAAGACGCCATGGCTTGCAGTTGCCGCAAGCTTTCAGCATGCTCTGAATGGGTGACTACAGGGACCTGAATAATCTGAATGCATGTTTCTTTTTGGAGGGGTGAGAGGGGGGGGCGTATCATGGAATGATCGAATAGATATCATAAATCACCCTAAATAATAGTGTTGCTAGCGATGCAGCCTGGTTCAACTGACACACCATGCGGATTCATAAAATGCTTGTTATCTCTCTCTCTCTCTCTCTCTCTCTCTCTCTCTCTCTCCCTCCCCCTCTCTCACTCTATCTATCTATCTGTCTGTTTGTCTATCTGTATATCTATCTGTATATATATATATATATATATATATATATATCATATATGTATATGTATCATATTGCTAGTATATTAATGTACATTGTACATCCTATGGTTCAGGTCATGTAGCCAAGTACCAAGACTGTGCTCAGTATGCCTGCGCATGTGCTGATACACACACACACACACACCGTATGACAACAGCTGTACGCACATACATACATACATACATACATACATACATGCATGCATACATACATGCATGCGTCTGCATCCGCATCCACATCCACATCCACATGCACATACACAGACCAACACATACACATACACATTTACGTACATCCATCAGTACATACACGCATACACGCTTATAAACACACAAGCACGAGTATCTAAACCGATGTCTACATCTGAATCTATATCTATGTCTATAGAGATAGCTATGCACCTGTACACATGCATCCACCCATTACATACATGCATAAGCTTTGATGGACGTAGATACCCCGTGTACATCCAAGTCTGTATGTATATATGTACGTTTGTTTGTATCCGACTTCAAGCCCCAGGACTGCCCGCCCCTCCAACTAAAAGGCCTTGTTTGTATGTCTCTGTACAAGCTGCACAAATCTATGGGTTGTGCCTGCAATGTATGGTGTGTGCATGAACATAAAACCAGGCGGGTCAGAAGCCTCTGCACGAGGCGGCGTGAGTTCTTCCAAAGGACGGCCGCGCAGCCTTTGGGTTAAGGGCTTAGGACTTGGCATTGAAGGTTTTCTGCTGGTTGGCTGGTGAAGTCGTACCAGGAAGGGATTTCAGTGCTTGAGGTTCGGAGTTGGGTGCGGATGCTGTTACTTATTCAGCTGCAAACTACGATATGCCACCACGTCTACCAGCTATGGTCGGGCTACTGATTCTAATACAAAGCCTGAATGATAACAACAGGGGCTTTTGAGGCTAGATTTTTCATTCAACAATGAACAGGAAAACTGTCAGACACCTGTCAGGTGCTCTGAGAGGATAGCATTTCTAGCTGTTCTGACCACTCATAGCCCCAAACTAGGGGAAGTAGTAAAGTCCATGCAGATTACCTCCAAACCCTGTAGCCTAAACTCTATACTTCCTGGCTCCATACCCGGCGGAGACATGCACGTTGAAACTTTCAGGTGGATGCCACATTCTAAAATAAGTTGGGCATCACACAACTAAGCATACCCTAAACCCTAAACCCTAAACCCCAAACCCGTACTCCAGGCAAGTGTCGCTGCCAAATCCTCGGCCAATGGTGCCCACACGCGGCGATTGAGGCCTGAGGAAGGGGATGTAGCCCTAAACCCCTAAACCCCAAACTCTGAATCCCTAAACCCTAAACCTGTACATCGGGGATTCTGGGCCTCTCTCTAAAATCCGTCGGACGAAAGGTGTTGGGCTGCTGATGGATAAGCTCCTGTAAACCTTGCTTATAAGACGATGTGCCGCCCTACAATTTAGGGTTTAGGGTTTAGGGTTTAGAGGCACTACATTCCTCAGAAAATGAGGCTAAGCCAAAGCCTAAGCGCTGAGCCCCTGAGCCCTAAAATCTAAACCCTACGAAAGTTAACTCTGTGTCCATCAATAATGAAGCCTAAGCCTAGACCCTCCATTTACCCTCCATTAGACACTAAATGCCCTTTATTTGGGACCATATGCCCCTATTTGAGGGTAGAAGGAGGGTCCTGAGGTCCCCGAAATTTTCTGGGTGTTGGGGTGGACAGGGCCGGCAGGCGATTGATGGAAAGGTGCAAGGTATGACAATCCAAGGAGTATAGCGTTGAAAATTTTGGAGCGAATGTTGAGGGCTTCCGGCTTAAGAATTCGGGGATGGGGTCCAATCTAGGGTGCAGGATCAAGGGCAGGGTGGCGAGGCACGACAACCAGAGCCTATATGCACTGGATTTCTCGGCTTGGGCCTGCGAGCATGTTCAACATTGCCGGGCTTTTGCGGTTTAGGTTTGAGGAGTTTGGGGCTTAGGGTCCCTAAACCCCAAGCCCTGAACCCTACTAGGGGCTGTCGGTCCAGGTGCTTGGGGGCCCGGGATTTAGGGATGTTTGGTCTAGGGGCTTAGGAGGGTTTCGGGTTGGAACATGTTTCTATTTCCGGGCAAGTTGTGATAACCTCCTGACAAATGCCAGGCTAGCAAGTATAAGAGTCTGAAGCATTACTGCGCTTATGTTTCCTTCCTCTGCATCCTACATATCCTCCCCTCTGGGCAAAGTATTGGCAGAACAGTAAACCACCGCAACATCAATTAGTTATAGGTTCCTCCATGTTGACTGCTGCTTCGGCACCATTGGCATGCAAGAGAAGGCAAAGCGTCACATCACCCATGGCTGACCCCAAGCTCTGAACCCGACACTGTGTCGCGGGGGTAGGGTGCTTAAGGCTTTACCCCCTCGCCCGGGTTTTGCGGAATTTCCGGACGTCGGAGCGGGAAGAATCAGAGCCTTAACTTTCAGGGATATGTCGACCGTAAATACAGAGATTTTTAAAAATCCTCTGTAAGTCCCTAGATTGAAGCAACGCTGTTCTGGATAGCCTGTGCTACTCAAGGCTCGGACGGTTAGGACTTTAGGCCAATAAAACTCTAGAAATCAAGCAAATCAGCATCTAGGCGAACCCGAAACTGATGGAGATGGTGCAGGTTGCCGGGTTGGGGTCTACGTTGATGGTTGTTTTGTGAACCTTGGGCCAACGAAGCTGCTGCCGAACATGTATCCTTTAAGATGCTCAAAGCTGCAAGCGGCACATGCTGCAATGAACATGGAAGCCTAAACCCTAAACGCTTAAACCCCAACCCCTACTGTAAATCCCTGTCCCTGGCTTTTCATTGAAGTACCCCTACAGTCAGAATCAATGATTGTTGAGGTTTGTTCAACCTGGAAAGATGTGCATCCTGTACAGGGCAAAAAAGCGAACTCATTATTTGTATTTCCGAACCCTACCATGGGGACGAGACGACCCGGGGCCAACCCACAGACGTGCAAGCAAAGCGGAGCAAGGCCGCCCATACGCTCTGGCATTAGCCTGAGGGTCCAAGTACCTGATTATCATATACTCTCCAAAATAGTAACCTACATAACTACTATCCTAAACCCAAGAAGCTAATTATTGGGTCTTTTGGACCCTTAGCATTAGCTGGCCCTGTGTTTTTACCAGGTGGCAAGGAAGACCATAGCGGCCGTAGTGAGCAAGATGCAGCGCCAGTTACTTGGAGGGTCGGGGGACTTAGTAACTGGTTAATTTAGGGACTTATGAGTACCAGAACCCCAATTAGGGTCCCTTTTAGGGTACTTATAAGTCTACTTACTACCTACTTACTAAGTCCCCCGACCCTCCAAGTATCTACATACCATCACCAAGAATGCCGCACACCCAACGGCTTGTACTTGAAAGAAAACAACTGCTGTACAATTGTAGTCCCGTATGTAGTACTACTTGTCAAAGCCCCTATGACATACTGTCACAGGCCCTATCACATACTAAGTGATGGTCCCGTTTCCCTTCAAGAGATGTATTCTGAGGTGGTAGAAGGCGATGCATCAGGAGCCCGCAGCCCACCGTCAGCGCTTTGAACTGAAGCCCAGACCCAAAAGTTCATAAGGCCTTAGAAGCCCGAAATTGCTGGATTTAGGGTTTAGGGAGTTTAGGGTTTTGAGTTGAAATTTAGGGAGTTTCAAGATAAATTCCCCATAAAACCATGAACCCTGGCAAATCTTCGCCGCCGGTGCCGTGCGACCAACCCGGTGGATGTAGCGGGTTACCTTCAGACGCTCACAGGACTCGAGTTTCCTTTCAGGGCTCTTTGAAGGGGTTCTATTCAGCGGTTCTAGATCCGGCTTGGGTGGTTTCCGAGTGTATAGGGTCTGGGGGTGCTTCTGGGTCTGGGGTCAAATATTGAAATTTTTGGATCTTGGATTTGAGGTCATTTGAGGTTTGGATTCGGGCACTCCGGGCTTGTGAGTGTTATCGTGCTACGGGCTGGTATTGGGGAGTAGGTTGGTACTGATGCCATGATGCTACGTGTACTGTTAGCGTGGCAGCCAACTGAATCAGGGAATCGCACACATAGTCGTTGCAGCGCCACTGCGACTGCGACATCCTACCACTGCAATGGCGAGGACTACTTCTACTGCCACTTTCACAGAAATTTCCCAACGACCTCTGATCTCAAGAGGTCGGGATCTGTGGACTCACAACCCAGGGCACCTAGGTGATGGGTTGCAGGTACCTCATGTTATCGGAGTTCAGGCCTATAAGCATACCCAAAACTCTAAAGAGACACCTTATGAAACGATGATGATGAAGCGGTTAGTAATAAACCCTAATCTAGACCTAAGAGTAACATCGGAATACAAAGGGTGCCCTTTTTGGTGTCAAGGGGGTTATAAGGGAACCTGAACCCTAAAAAAGGGAATAAGGGCTTACTCTGGGTCCTAGTAATTACACCAAAACCCTGAACCAGTTAAGAGGCTCTACTTCTTCTCGGATCTTCGGTTCACATTTCAAGGCATTTCTGCGCTTCAGGAGCTCAGGGCGCGAGGCTTGAGGGGTAGTGTGAGGGTTCAACGAAGGAGCTAAAAAAAGGAGGCTTAATAATTAGAATGGGGTTTTGGGGCCCATTCACTATAATTATAATTAGGAACACCCCAAATTCGTTAATTATTTAGGCCCCTATATTAGAAGAGTTCCATGGCATTTTGGGGCCTACCCTGGCCTAGGGTCACAAACCTCTCAAGAATCCTAAGCCCGGAAGTCCCAAAGCCCCAACCGCGAATCGCCGTTACATTCAGCCCAAACATAGAGCTCGAGGAAGAAACAACCTAGGAATAAAAAGGGCTCCCTTTTTGGTGTTGCGTAACTTTATAAGGAACCTAGGACTACAAATAGAAAATAAGGGTACCACTGGGTATCCTAGTAAACGTTAAACCCTAAGATCCGGACATCCACTGGCAGGTGGAAATTGATCACCGTCTTGGTGCAGGGCCTTCTGGGGGCAAGATCGTGCCGATGGTGGGTGGGTGGAGGGGGTGGGGGGGGTGGTTGGAGCCACTATCACGACCCGTTTAACAGAATGCACATCCAGTTCCCTGTATTGTTTCTCTACGTGCTTTGTGGCTGTATAGCGTACGTCCACCATCCCCAATGCCCAATCCCTGAACCCCAAAACTTCATCACACCAGGCCTTCAAAGAGACCTTGAGCCCTCAACGTTTGCAAAGTTTTGCATCGGTTTTCGGGTTGGGTTTGGGGCTTTGCCTGCGGCGTAGGATTTATGGTGTGGGGTGAGCGGCGGCCCTCTAAAGCCATTATAAGCCTCTGCAGGAACCTAACGATCCCCCGAAGTCCCATGACAACCTACGTAGAATGCCATGACATGAAAACCCTACACCTTCAGAGTTAGTCTAGTCTTCACTGTAATTCCTTTTATGTGTTGGCCGGATTTACGGTTAGGAAGGGCGGTGGGTAGATAGATAGATGGACAGGTACAGGCTTATGCAGTAAGGTAGATATAAGTGATGCAAGTACACATGTATTCGCCGGGACCTCCGTAGGAACAAAGGAGCACAGCTTGATAACTCATTGGCGCTGGATTCGGGGCTGAAGGCTGTGATAGGGCGTACGCGGTTCGTTCCCCGTTGACGGCTGCGGTTATCATTGCATCTGATGCAGCCATGTCCAGGCTCGTCCCGTCCCAGGCCGACAGCACCAGCCCAGGGTCCCCGTAGATTGCTCCTGACCGAATGGTCTCGAACAGCCGCGCCATGATAGCGTCTATCTCGACGTTGTTGAAATGACCCGTCAATGATACGTACCTGTCCGACGTCCTGTACGCCGATACAGTCAATGCCGCGACGGTCGTTGACATGTCATTGGATCCCGGGTGCACCATTGTGTCCTCTGCCGTTGCGCGATCCGGGATTGATCTGTACAGCCCAGGTAGCTCTGCGGATGAGTAGAACACCATCACATCGTCAGCATTGCACGGGGCCCGGACTGAGTGCCCCTTCGTCCCAAACCCCGCAACACAGGGCGAATGCTGCACCCACGCAAGCCCTAGACAAGAAAGAGATTGTCTCTGCGAGTATGCACTACTACTAAACCCTGCTTGGAAGTTCATGGGCACTTATAAGTAAGAGTTATAAGCAGGGTAGCTATACTTGCAACCCATATTAGGGGACTTATACCCCCACTTACAAGTCTGCAAACAGTCCGCAAGCAGCCGCAAACTGGGTCAGAACCCAACCCTGACAAGAACAGGGCCGGGACGGATACCTTAAGCCGACCCTAACTTCCAAAACCCGAAATCGTGCATGGGAGCTGGGAGGGTTGGGATTCTGTTGGGATTGAGGTTGGGAAGGTCTTTGAACCCGGGTGGGCTTCGGGGGTGGACAATGATATAGTTACCCTCTTCCTTTTGGCATACACATAGCTTTCTTGCCATTATCGCGCGAGTGGCGTGTTCCTCGCAGTTTATATACTCCAAAGCAAACAATCATCAGGATGGCGGGGATATTCCCGAAAGCATCGCGAAGGGTTCTTCCGTGCGAAGCCCTTGAGAGAAGTACATAGAGTGAAGTACATAGAGTGAAGTGCATAGAGTGAAGTGCATAGTATATAGTGCATAGTACATAAATGCATAGAGTGAAGTGCATAGAGTGAAGTACATTGAGTGAAGTGCATAGAGTGAAGTACATAGTACACAGAGTGAAGTGCATGCTACGTGCCTCTCTGCTCTATGACTCTATGTTTGACTTGAGCTATGACACTCTGACTCTGTAACTCTATGACTCTGTGTATGACTCTCTGTACTTGACTCTACCTGATTTATATATGTCTCGGTATATTAATCTGGCAAGGAACCCGGCTGTCATTAAATTGGCCCAGGTGCAAAGCCAGGGGACCCTGCAAGACCTGGGTCAGGCTCGTCGAGCTTCACTGCGCAGCCCATGTCGGCGAATTTGATCGTGCCGTCTGCGTCGATCAAAAGGTTGGCGGGATTGATGTCACGGTGCAGGATGCCGCATCCGTGCATAAATGAGAGCCCAGCCCATGTCTGGCAGGGGCAACTGTAGACTCAAGAAGCAAAAAAACCTCAAAACACACACGTGGCTTGGCTACGCACAGTCAGGTCACGACATTATGTCTGCGGATGCTTCTTCCAATACCAAATCTGTCCGTGTCTATGTGTGCACACGCGTGCACGTGAAGACGTGTGCGTATGTGCGTGCGTGTGCGTGTGTGCGTGTGTGCGTGTGTGCGTGTGTGCGCGTGTGTGCGTGTATGCGTGTGTGCATGTGTGCATGTGTGCATGTGTGCATGTGTGCGGGTGTGCGGCTGTGCGGGTGTGCGTGTGTGCGTGTGTGCGTGTGTGCATGTGTGCATGTGTGCGTGTGTGCGTGTGTGCGTGCGTGTGCGTGTGCGTGTGCGTGCGGGTGCGTGTGCGTGTGCGTGTGCGTGTGCCTTAAGGACGAAATGAACCCCAAAAAGGTTTAAGGTTCATATACCATATGGGGATTCATAGTACGTGGCTATAGGGCCCCTACTTTTAAGGGTCATTTGGTCCCTCAGGTGCGTGTGCGTGTGCGTGTGCGTGTGCGTGTGCGTGCGCGTGCGCGTGCGCGTGCGCGTGTGCGCGTGCGCGTGCGCGTGCGCGTGCGCGGTGCGCGTGCGCGGGTGCGCGGGTGCCTGGGTGCGTGGGTGCGTGGGTGCGTGGGTGCGTGGGTGCGTGGGTGCGTGGGTGCGTGGGTGCGTGGGTGCGTGGGTGCGTGGGTGCGTGGGTGCGTGGGTGTGTGTGTGTGTGTGTGTGTGCGTGTGTGCGTGTGTGCATGTGTGCGTGTGTACTTGAAAAATCTTGGTGGTTAGTATTTGGTTATAGGGGATACCGGAGATATATGTGGGGTTATCTAACTTGCGTAAACGGACTTATCTATGCAGTTTACTGGAGTTACCTAAGTGAACTTATTGGATTTAGGTAAGTGGGATAAATTGACATATCGGGCAATATCCACATATAAAAATGAACATGTAATGTATCTATCTTCCAGCAGAAGCACAAAAGGAGAAGTGAGGCCACCGAAGCCATGCATGACATAAGCACGAATGAAGCCGTCCAGGGCCTTATAACTTCTCGCAATCGCCACAGCAAGCATTGCACATATTTCTGCAGTGCTAACATGATGAAGCGGCACATGCATGTTTCATGCATGCATGCTTGCAACTCAAAGACTCGCATGCAGGGCAAAATGCTCGTATGCAGACATGCTCTCATGAAAGAGATTCGCACTCAGGGCACATTGCTCGCATGCAGTTTTTTTCGGCTAGACCAAAACGATCGCTTTGCCACCCTTGACCGAATAGATGCAGCACGATTTGATGCTGTCTGTTGCCGTGATAAAGGGGTCGAGGTCTGTGCATTCAAACATCTGCTCGTACACATGCTTCCATTGTGTGACACAAGTCCAGACTTGGCCTGCAGCTTGGAAGTGAAACTACACTAGACCCACAGTCGTAGCATCCAAAGCGACGATATCACCTTTTGTGCAAACGAACCCGCCGGCATGCATGGCCCGCAAATCATGCAGAATGGGCCCCGTTGCAAATGGCATGACCTGGCCCACGAGATCAACGAGCTTCTTCGGGGCCGGCTTGGGGTTCATAAGCCGCACCTTTGAGGATGGAAGCTCTGCAGAATACCTACCCCTAAACCTTATGGAACCCTTGAAGGAACCCTTAAACGAACCCTTCAAGGAACCCCATACCCCCCACTTATAACTATCCTTGAACCTCCAAGTAGACTCTGAGACAAACTCTCAAACCCTAGACCCCAAACCCCTAAAATAAACCCTAAACCCCGAAGCCCTGAACCTAAAATAAACCCTAAACCCCAAAGCCCTAAACCCTAAAACGCTAAACCCTAAAATAAAAACCCTAAAATGAAACCTAAACCCCAAAGTCCTCAACCCTAAAACGCTAAAGCCTAAAATCAAACCTAAACCCCAAAGCCCTAAACCCTAAAATAAACCCAAACCCCAAAGCCCTAAACCCTAAAACCCTAAACCCTAAATTAAAGCCCTAAACCCCAAAGCCCTAAACCCTAAAGTACACCCTAAAACCCTACTAAACCCTAGCGACTCTGAGACGACGGCCCGAGAACTCCAGAAAGTTGGAATATGGATTAATGGTAGGATCCCCTATAATTTACCTTTAAAGGGGTTACGATAATGATATTCCAACTTTCTGGCTTCTACTGTAGAACTGGAGACGACGGCCCGAGAACCCAGAGACGAAGGTCCCAAAACTCGAAACCTCTGACCCCCAAAAAAAGCTTCTTCTATTGAACGTTTAGGGTTTAGGGTTTAGGATTATTGGGTGGTTGTCGAAATTAGGGTCCCTTTTTGGGGTCCCCTAGATAGTAGGTGCCGTATTATAGTAAGGACCCGAAAAGGGACCCTAATATTGACAACCACCCTATTTAAGGCCCCAAACAAAGCACATAAGCAAACAAATGGGATAGGGGTTACATAAATCCTAAAAGGTTAAAGGTCACCTACTCAGCCCCTAAGGGTTTAGGGTTTAGGGGTCTTTAGGGCCCCAAAAAGGAACATAAGCGAAAAAATGGGATGGGGATATCCCATATAAATCCCCTTATAATGAAGCCCAATAAGGTAAGGATATCCCTATAAAATGCTTATGCTTATGTGCTTTTTGGGTCCCTAACTGAGGTCGTAGCAGGTCTAAGCCGCGGGAGGCGATGTCGGTGGCAATCAGAAACTCAGCCTGCGATGAGAAGCGTAGCAGGCCAGTACTAGGGCTTAGTGTTTAGGAGTTTTTTTGGATTGATGCTTGAACCCTTCGGTGCGCTCAAACAGCATGCAGGGTTTAGGGGTTTAGGGTTTAGGGCCTAGGGGTCTGGAAGCTCAGGCTTCGAGATGTGAGAATGTAAGATGCAAGGTTCGTATGCAGAACTGGGCTTCTCGGATATCTGCTCGCAGGAAAAGAACAGCAGGCCAAGATGGGGTCTCTAAGAAGCAGAATGAGGTTCTGCTTCAGGGAGCTGTCGGTTCCTAGAAGGGTCTTCCTAGGGCATGCTATAGAACATTCATGAAGGGGTCTGTTATTCAGAGTAGAGCTCACTTTGATGGCCCTCTTGAGGAGCCCGATACAGGTTTCATATGGTTTCATAACAAGGAGCAGGGGCTACGGTATACTGCTGGGGTGCGAAAAATCAAAATTGGACCAGGGATTTGGGTACAGTATAGTAAAGTTACAGAGGCACTACCAGGGGAGAGTTTTTCTAATTGTTCCAACCCTGATTACCACACTAGCCTCAAGGACCACGGGAAAGGCACGGTTGATGGACAAATTCCTGCATTACCCATAATAAGGAATTTACCATAGTTCCCATAGTCTAGGGTCATTAAGGTCATGCAGGATAGACCCTAAACACCCTTACGCCCTGAACCATTAAAACCTAAACCGGCTCCCCCAGATGGTTGAAACTCCAGTCTACCCCAAATCCTAGCCCCAGAGGTTTCGTAGTTTGAACATGCTGTGAGTCTGATCCCTACCTCTACCCTACCTCGTCCCCCAACGTATACCCTGCATTACATGAATGAATATCCACTATTCACTATGCAGGACCATAAGGGCATTGAGGGGGGGGGTCATGGTAAAGCTTACACTCTGAAGCGCGTAGGTGCGAACTCGCAAATTGCCAACAAAGGGCTGGAGTCTGCAAAGGTTTGGGGCGGTGGTTTCAGGCTTATAGGTTTTTCAGGGTCCAGGTCCTGCTATGGTTTTTACTTTGGGATTTCGGCGTATATGTAGGTTCACACCGCTTCGTTGAACAACTCTTTCCTTCTGAAAGCCCCTGATACCCTAAACCTAAGCCCTACACTAGCTATGTCACTCTGTCCCCTTTCGGAGCGCCTGGCTTTGCTGGAACCGCTGCAGCGAAGTCGCACGCTCTGTCTGCGAAGAAGGCGGAAGTAACGCAAGGGTCTTGGGTTTAGGGGCTAGGAATGATACGGCTTTAGACGGGCTTTTCGGGCTTATAACAGAGGAATCTTTCAAGCTTGAACGGTTCCATGGGTTCGTTAAGGGTTCTATGGAGTTTAGGGGATTGGGGAACTGTCGCGGGGAGTTAGCAATTAGAATTCGGTTCCCTTTCAAGGGGTCGTTGAAGGGTTCCATTATTAAGTGAGGCGGGCTTGGAATATATATTATATAATTGTATAGTCACAGCCGGCCTGCAAACGAGTATAACGGGAAAGAATATCGAGACATTTCCAACCTCAATACTTGCAATGGGATTTAGGGCCCTTGTTCGACGGTTTCCTGAGAGTTGCTACAGAGGCCAGCCTACTGTAAAGCCACGCTAATCTTCTTTGTCTGGAGACTGTGATGCCTCAGTTTGCTCTGCTAAAGTCCCAAAAGCTGCGCTAAACTTCACTATGCACACGATGTCATAATGAATGATGAATGCATGGACCGACGACTTAGGGTTACAAATGAAAGCCTTGGAAACGGCAGGCATCGCTTCAGTGCGATGCCCTAAACTAAACCCCAAACCCCAATCGAAACCCTAAACCCCAGTCGAAAGCCCAGGCGAATAGTTAATAGTTGCTACAGCGGCATGGCTCCCATTCTTGTGCAAGGATGGAGTTTACAGCGCGAGGTTGAGCACTTTGAGGGTCAACGCCGTCAAGGGTTTCGCTTAGGGGTTTAGGACACTTGTTTAGGGCTTCTTGTATTGATTTCCTCATTAAATCCATAGCGAGGGGGTTGTCATCTGCGGAGTGCTTGTCACACTCCTACTCAAAATCAAGAAATTTATATTAAGTCCTAAGAAACGTAGGCTATTGGGGTTAAGGTAAACCCTGCGGTCTCGTGCGCTGAAGGGAATCCACGAATTCCGTGGGATTTGTTGGGAGCTGACGGTACTAGGATGCAAGGAATAGCAGTACTTAGTATCAGACCCCAAATCTAAACGTCAAGCGCAAACCCTTAGCCTAAATCCTCGACCCTTGACCCAGCAGCTTCCCCCGTCGGAGCGACTGACCCCTTCGCCAAAGCTTCAGGTAAGGAAGCCTCGCATAGAACCCCGGCATAGTTCGATCCTGAACGCTGGCGCCGCTAGTAAGGGATTTTAATCATCAGCGGTTTTGAGAACACCATGCAGGATGCGGAAAGTTCAAAACGGGATGCCGAAAGCCCAAAACTCCGAACCTGCATGAACCCTACACGCCCTCTCACAACCGTTTGAAACCCCTATAGAGCCCTGTGCCCCAGAGCCTGAGACAGGTTCCCGTGGATTTCGGCAAACTTGAGTCCGCAGAGCCCAAAAACGATGGCGATGCGGTGGGCCGCCTTCCAGCGAGTCGATCAAAGGTTGGGTTTCAGGGTTCCTTTAATGGGATCCTTATAAGGGGTTCCTTAAAGGGATCTAGAAGGGGTTCAGGGTTTAGGGTTTAGTGGCTTTGGGTTCAGGGTTTAGGGGTTCAGGGTTTAGGGTTTAGTGGCTTTGGGTTCAGGGTTTAGGGGTTTTGGGTTCAGGATTGAGGATTTAGGGGTTTTGGGTTCATGGTTTAGGGTTCAGGGTACAGGGCGTACAGGATGTAGTAGGGTCTTATGATGGGTCTAACAAGAGATTTATCAGGGTTCTTTACCGGCTTCACAAGGGATCTGTGTTGGCTACAAACAGCTATATACAAATGGATTTCAACATGTAGTGCTTAGGAATGTAGGGCTTTCGGTTTAGGTGTTGTGTTCCGGTCTCGGGTTTGCGGGTTTAACCAACAGTCTACGTACCAAAGATGATAGTATATACTTTAACCTTGACTGGTTCCTGGAGGTATCTTGGTGTCAAATTAATATGATGTCAAGGCGGCAGGGGGGAATTAGTTTGTCGCGTATGCGAAGATCCAGCGCCGTAAAACCTGGCGTTTTAGGCAACCGAATAAGACTTGGACAAGAGTCTGCAAACGCTTGAGGAGTACAATTATTCAACACTCAGGCCGCTAAACACTGAATATTGAACCCTTCTTTGGATGCTTGGAAATGATTTTGGGTGATTAATCGGCGTGGTGGCACTCGAGCACACGGAACCGCTGCTCCTCGACACCACAGAGACTTTTGGAATGAGATACGACCTTGAAGGAGATCAAGTTTTTCTATTGGGGGGGCTACTAGGCTATTCCTGATTGTTCAGATCGTTGCAGTGTTGGTATTGGGATACTTGTGGGAGTCACTCGCCGGGCAATGTCGGGTTGAAGATGCTTGCATGCAGGTTTAAGGTGTGGTTCCGGATCGAAACGTGTCGTTACGGACTCTGCCAGACCTCCTTCGTCGAGCAAAAGACGATGACCTTGCTGTTGTAGTTTCGCGTCACAAGGCCTTGGCAAAGCAACCAGGCAAACAAATGGCTGTGGTCTGGCTTCTTGTTGTGGAATTCAACTTAAGTTACCATAATAGGGGTGTATAGTATATATATATATATATATATATATATAATGGCTTCTTTACTATGGTCACTTAGATTAAACCCCTTCGCAAGAAACCGGCGGTGCGCTTCGACTTACCATGACCTCTTCACAAAGCAGACCTAGCAAGCAATCAAAGCCTTTCGGGTGTATGAGTGGAGTGGCTCATGTGATGGCGCATGACACTGAAAACTTTGCCGAAACACGCAGTGCAATGCAAAATGCATGAAACACAAGTAAGATTTACCGATGAAGCTCCGATAGTCGGGATTCAAAAGGCTTCGCAGGAACCAGTCCACGTGCCATGGAGTTCAGGGATCTACCGGAAATCAATGCCACACAGGTTGATGTCTAGAAACCCTACAAGTAACCGCAAGCAGCGGCTTGGGTGTTCGCTAGGTAGGATGTGCCTTCTACTTCCGGCGTAGGCGTCGGGGGCCTTGGTTTCCGAAAGCTTCAGAGATCTGTCAAGGACGAATTACCAATTGGTAGAATTACGACGTCATGGTTTTAGGGTCCAGGTTTCGGGAAGTGGAGGGGCTGTACAAGCTGAAATTGCTGAGCCAGGGTCTTGGTGCGCACCGAACTCACGGAGATCATGCTGCAATGCATTCGGGCTTGTTGTACCAAGACAAGCAAATATTGCAAAAAAGGATTCTTGAAACCAGAAGAACTCGAGAGGCATTCTAGAGAGAATGACCTTGCCAAGTCCTACGCCGAACCCGCTCCTGACCCTAGATCCGTGTAACCGGATACATGATCTCAGCCGTTCCGCGAGGACCAAATCAAAGCCAACAGAAACCTTCAGCCAAAGCTAAACTCCTAAACCCTACGTCCCAAACCTTTGTAGAACCATTTACGAACCTCCCAAAAGTCATAAATAGCCGCAAGAAATCAGAAAGATACCCTGAAGACGGGCTCCCCGCTGAGCAGGGCCGCTTCGCGAAGTTCTTCCGAGGGCGCCTTCACAAACTCCTCAGAATTTGGAGGCGTACAGAAGCAGGTGGGCCGAAAACGAGGGTGTTTAGGTGCGTAGACAGGTCGGGGATTGGCGTAGGGTTTGCGTTTTGGGTTAGAGCTTCCGGTATTGGTTTCTGGAGGGGTTTAGGGTTCTTGAGAAAGGATCACGAGGGATCCCAAGAGGGATCCAAAAGGCACTGAAATGTTTAGTGTATTTGAATACACCGGGCTTGGGACTTCGAAGGTCAAGGGGCGGTTCCGGATGATGCCACTCATGCCTTCGTTTCGAGGTCAAACTAGCTTGAAGGATTTCTACTTGCTTCCCGAATAAGCCACAGGAATGAAAGGTTAACTTTCCGGCTCCTACTAAACTAAACAATAAGAACACAACAAAAAATAAAGGTTGGGTATTGGGGATTCAATTTTATGGGGTTGCACAAGAGCTTCATGAGAAGAGGGAGGATCCAAATTAGGCTTCCCTTCTCGCTGGGTGGCTTTTCGGACGTTGGAGGGTTTCTCCGAGTTTACTTGGAGGTTCATGGGTACTTATAGGTAGGGTCATAAGGGGTCTTTAGGGTTCCTTTAAGGGTTCTACAAGGTTTAGGGTTTAGGGTACTTATAAGTGGGTTATAAGTAGGCTAAGTATATGTATTGCCCATATTCGGAAACTTATAACCCCACTTATAACTACGCCTGAACCTCCAAGTAGGGCTGTCTCAGCAGTTCAGAGCGTGCCCGCATCCACATCAAGGCTCCTAAACCCTGAACCCTGGCTGTTGAAGTGTCTGTGTGCGCATGGTAACCTCATGTCTTGCCAGACTAAGGATGCAGAAGACCCAGAAGGCATTCATTCAGGAAAGAATCCCATGACAATGGATGGAACCCTACACCTTAAACCCCAAACCCGTTTTGGGAAACTTCTAGGAACTTGTAAAAGTGGGCCTTAAGGACTTTTCGAGTTGGAGTTCTACGGGATTTGAGCCTGTCCTGTAGCGTGTAGAGACTTCGGGTTTGGTCTCCAGGCCGGCTGTCCCGGGTTTTCGTAGCTTCGGACCAGACCTAAGAGTAACCTAGGAATAAATAGGGTGCCCCAAATTTTGGGTTAAATAGGGGTTATAGGGGAACCTGAGCCCTATAACAGGGAATAAGGGCTTACCTAGAGGCTGATACCCTACGGCTGTTTTAGGATACCTAGTTTCATGGTTAGGATCTGTTATCTTAAGAAGTAGGCGCCTTAAAAACGGGGTAGGGTATGAGCCTCTACTAGGCCGAGAAGTAACCAAGGACAAAAAAGTATAGACGTTTATTTCATAATGGTTCCTTTAAGGAACAAGTATCCAACAAATATACTCAAGTATAACCCAGGTCTAGGGCGCCTACTTTTTAAGATAGCAGATCCGAATCCTAACCACAAAACTCGGTATCCCAAAACAAGGGGATAGGGTATGAGCCTCTAGGTAAGCCCTTATTCTCTGTTTTCGGGGTCTTTAGAGGGTTCCTTTAAAGGGTAAGATGGCTTACTAATGGTAGGGTATGAGCCTCTAGGTACTCTGGGTCCTAGTCGGAGGCCTTCGGGGAGGTCTGCAGCTTCCAAGTCTCATGGCTTCGAGTCCCACGGCTCCAAGCCGGAAACCATTTTGGGGTTACTTGGAGGTTGAGAGGTAGTTATAAGGGTTCCTTTAAGGGTCCCTTTAAAGGGATCTATAGGGATCCATTTTGGGGTTTAGGGTTTATTTTAGGGTTCAGGGCTTTGGGGGTTTAGGGTTTATTTTAGGGGTTTGGGGATTAGGGTTTATTTTAGGGTTCAGGGCTTTGGGGGTTTAGGGTTTATTTTAGGGGTTTGGGGTTTAGGGTTTGAGAGTTTGTCTCAGAGTCTACTTGGAGGTTCAAGGATAGTTATAAGTGGGGTTATAAGGGTTCTTTTGGGTTCCTTTAAGGGTTCTATAAGGTTTAGGGTCTAGGGTAGTGCTCCAAGTCGGAAACCACTGCTATGGTTGATGATAGAAATCCTGCATTACCCATACTAAGGGTACCTTTTAAGGGGCTCCTTTAAGGGATCTATAGGGTTATAAGGCTTTGGTTTAGGGATATAAATCCAGCATTACCCATCATAAGGAATATAGCATAATTCCCATAGTTTAGGGTTTTTAAGGTAATGCAGGATTTATATCATCAACAGTAGCTTTCCGAGTGGCCTAAGGGTATCCTTTGTTCCTACTACTTTTTTATTGGGCAATTCATCAGGGTACCCTTTTTGTCCTACTATTTTGTGTTAATAGGGGAACACAGAAAGAAAAAGTGCAAAATGGAACTTCTCAGGAACCCAGATTTAGTTGCAAGGTCCAGGCTTCGTGCGGAGTCCAATCTGTAGGCACTGGAGCGCAGAGCAAACATAAGAACTGCTTCCCGCTTTGTGAGGGGGCGGGGAGACTTAGTTATGCCAGATCTGTTCTCGTTTCAACAGCTGACACAAAGCTACTGTAGACTTTGGTTACTCCAGGTCGACCGAGAGCCCTGCAACCCTACGACCTGAACCCCAATTAAACCCTGAACCCCTAACCTAGAGCCCTATACGCTGAAACCCTGTCTCCTGCTCGAGCGTTTGGGCGACGGCGTTCACAGGACTGGCGTGTATGCGCTCCGGCTTCACCTGCACCATGCGCAGTGCCCCCATCTGAGGCACCAAGTATGTACGTGGTAACTCTGTTGGCGGAGTACATACAAACACACATAGATATCTGGGCGCATAGATACCTAGATAATTATATAAGTACATGACACAGATGCATACATACATACAATACAATACAATACAATACAATACAATACAATACAATCATACACACATCCTTTCATCACCGTGCCTACATTGAGCTTAACAGCCCCAGTATGCCTCCCTTTAGGGTATGGCTGAAGGAAGCAACACACAGAGAGAAGGATCCCACGGATGGACCAAGGTGTCGAACAACCTCCCCTGAGGGTCCATGTACTCATATAGTATATACACTGCTTGGAGGGTCGGGCGACTTAGTAACTGGTTATTTTGGGGGGCTTATAAGTACCATAACCCCAATTAGGGTCCCTTTTAGGGTACTTATAAGTCTACTTACTACCTACTTACTAAGTCCCCCGACCCTCCAAGTGGCCTTAATGTAGTCCCTATATAGGTACTGGCGCTCATGTATCTCTATGGATACCTGGACCCTTAGGGCTCTATGTCCGATCTGCAGACTACAACAAAAACAGTTGCAACAACCCCTTGAAGGCCTTGACACCCTCCTACACAAAATCGGTTTCAAAGCCTTCGGAAGCCCTAAAAGGCCCTTCATACCCCCCTTGCGACCTGTTCAAGCCCTAAGCCCTAAACCTTAAACCCCTAAACCCGAAACACTAAATCCGAAACCCTAAACTCCAAACCCCTAAACCCTAAACACTAATTAAATCCGAAACCCTAAACCCTAAAACCCCAAAGCCCTAAACCCTAATCACGCCCCATAATCAGGCCCTGACATGCAGAGGCAGAGGCCCCCACCAGCGCCAGCGCTGCGAGATCTTCAACCGAGGCATTCAGCGTCGCAGAGAAGAGCATCGTCCTTGTGTGGTGCTTGCAGGGCTCATATATTATTATAGGCCCTAAATGGGAGTTTCCGAAAATAGGGGACCCTAATATAGTACCCTAAAATAGTAGGATCCTGATCACAAGGACCAAGGAATAAGGTATCCCCTATTTTGAAAAGCTCCCAAATCCTAAACCCTAAACCGTTTAAGTTATCTGGCTAGAGTTCTCTAGTTGGGGCCCATGAGGCTTATTTACGGTTTTCTACGGCCTCACGAGGATTTCGGGGGTCTCGAACATGAGAGGTGCATCTTTGAAGGTCCTTGCGATAAGGATCCAAGGGACATCCACTCGGGCCGTGTTGGGGGGGCTCCGGGGTTGAGTTTAGGATACGGTTTTGGATTCTGGGTTTAGGGTTTAGGGGTTTTGGGTTCTGGGTTTAGGGTTTAGGGTTTTGGGTTCTGGGTTCTGGGTTCAGGCGGGTAGCTCAGGATCTATATTCGCTTTACAAACGTTTTTTTTTCGGTGTTGGTGCTTTTTCATAAGGCAGTTCCCACCCAATATCAGGTTGCCGGTTTGGTATGATACAAGGGTCTGGGTGGTCCTGGACGATCATCATGACAGTTTCATTCTGATGGGAGGCCAAAAGGGGGGTTTAAGATTCTTGGGGTAAGGATCCTTAATATGAACCCTATTATGGGAACCCTAATCCCTACTACTTTCTCGACATCTTTGTTTAGGTCAAGGCCCGCTGGGAACCCTGCTGCCGTCCCTTGGAGCACCGCTTCAGCACCTGCACACAGCATGTGTTGTCTCTTAGCTTCTTAGCTACTTCGGGGTGCGTGGCTGGTGCGATCCGAATCCTTATTAGGGTCTACGGCCAGCTAAAGGTGTAGGGCTTATAAGGGTTTAAAGGTATAGGGTTTGGGGGTTAGCAGTTCAGGTTTGGGGTCTAGGGGTTTAGGGCTTCCCTTCATATTCCATATGTTCTCCATTGTAGTTCCTTTTTTGGCTATCCATTTTACACGATATAGGATTCTAGCTTTAAAACTGGCTCAGCAAACAAGGACTTACAGGCAAAGGGGCATCTTTGACGGATTCTTCGGCCTTATAACTTAGGTTTACAAGCATTGCTGAGCTTCTCGCCACAAGCTCCGCAGCTTCTGTGCCCGTGAAAGCAACAATCTAGGAACCTGGTCAAGAAACCCCGGCCTTACAACACCAAAACAGTAGGATTCATATAAAAAGCCTAATAAAGGACCCGAGGCTGCTTAATCAGGTTCCTACGTTGATATTCCTTGCTAAAATAGACATGGCATGGGTTCCAACATGGACACGCCTCGCCAGCGAGACACCTTAAACCTGAACCCTACCTGAAAGACACTCCGGTCCGAGTGCGCCCTCGACCCCTGTAAGCCCTTCTTGGAAACTAGAACATCCAGATATTGGGGCTTAGGGTTCAGGCTTTATGAGGCTTCGCTTTTTGAATTTGTTGAAGGCTTGGGTCCCTCAGTATTGTCCGGCACGTTTGGGCCAAGCTGTCCACCAATTTCTTATAGAGTTTAGGGTTTAGCAGTTCAGGGTTAGGGTTGTTTAGGGGTTCAGGGTTAGGGTTTAGGGGTTTAGGGTTTAGGTTGTTTCTCTTTCGAAAATGATGCGAGGGAGCCGCGCTGAGGGACTGTGGGGTGTGACAGTGTGGACTGCAGACGTGGCTGCGAGTGTGGGCTGTCGACCGTGGGCTACGACATTTACGGCAACAGATTCAAGTGATTGAAAAAATGCCGGACGGATAGTGGCCCGGAGCCGATAAATCTTGAACTCTGCAGCAACACTCCCCAGTCATCTGACGTATCAGCAAAGACAATAAATTCTGCGCAAACCTGTAAACAACGAACTCCCTAGACAGCTTAGGGCTCCGGATTCGCGCCAACATCGAAAGCACGACGCGTTAAACGGTACAGCTTAGGTACGGCCCCCACTCAGTAATAGTTGAATAATATTCATAATATAGGTATAGTAGGACCTTAATAGCAGCCCTATTATAGACTCTTACTGTACGGGGGCCGTACCTAAGGTACAGCCCGAAACTCTCCAAACCCTAGCAAGCGGGTTGAACGCTAGTCTAACAACCATATGGGGGGAGCTAAGGAGCCAGGGATGATGATAATCCCTAGTAAATAAGGAGCTAAAGAGCCAAGGGAACCCCCAAAACCACTGGTTAGTAGCCACAACCCTGAAGGCCTCGACTCCCCTTAAAGCCTTAACTTGCGGATCTCTTAAAGAACCCTCGGTTCAGGGCTTCTTGGTTTCTCCAGGGTTTAGAGCTTGAGTTTTTTTTGTTTCTTCAAAGGTTTAGCTGTAAAGGGTATGGAAGGCTAAACCCTAAACCCTTAACTGCCTGAACCCTAAACCCTACAGAAGGGGACGCCGTGGACGCTTGTTTCTTCTTTGTCGGTTGTGTTCCCAGCCGGTGCCCTGACTTAATGACTTAATTTTTTTAAGTCATTAAGTCAGGGAACCGGCTGGATCCAAGATCCAAGATTGCAGGAAAAAGTTTCTTGGATCCATCTTGGATCAAGCCGGGGCCCTGACTTAATGACTTAATTTTTTTAAGTCATTAAGTCGGGGCCCTCCCGGATCCAAGATCCAAGATTGCAGGAAGAAGTTTCTTGGATCCATCTTGGATCCAGCCAGGACCCTGACTTAATGACGTAATTTTTTTAAGTCATTAAGCCGGGGCCCTCCCAGATCCAAGATGGATCCAAGAAACTTTTGTCTGCAATCTTGGATCTTGGATCCAGCCGGGGCCCTGACTTAATGACTTAATTTTTTTAAGTCATTAAGTCGGGCCCCGCCCGGGTCCAAGATGGATCCAAAAAGCTTTTGTCTGCAATCTTGGATCTTGGATCCAGCCCGGGCCCTGACTTAATGACTTAATTTTTTAAGTCATTAAGTCGGGGCCCTCCCGGATCCAAGATCCAAGATTAAAGGAAAAAGTTTCTTGGATCCATCTTGGATCCAGCCAGGACCCTGACTTAATAACTTAATTTTTTTAAGTCATTAAGTCGGGGCCCTCCCAGATCCAAGATGGATCCAAGAAACTTTTGTTTGCAATCTTGGATCCAGTCGGGGCCCTGACTTAATGACTTAATCTTTTAAAGTCATTAAGTCGGGGCCCTCCCGGATCCAAGATGGATCCAAGAAACTTCTTTCTGCAATTTTGGATCTTGGATCCAGCCGGGGCCCCGACTTAACGACTTAAGTTTTTTAAGTGTTTAAGTCGGGGCCCCGGCTGGATCCAAGATCCAAGATTGCAGAAAGATGTTTCTTGGATCCATCTTGGAGCCGGGGCCCCGATTTAAACACTTAAGTTTTTCCAAATCTTTAAATCGGGGCGCGTGGCTCTCGGAGCGGGTCCAAGAATTTTTGTTCTGCAATGTTGGTTCTCGGACCCAGGGGGCACAGCATTGTGTCTGTCTGGCACATAACGGAAACCTCAATGGAATTCCACCTTTCCACATGTGCTGCGTCCAAAGCCACAGAGCTTTGCACATGTGGAGATGTGGAATTCCATTGGGCTTTCCATATTTCCAAACCTGTTGACCTTAATTCTGCAGAGCTCAGGATCATAGGGCTCCCAATAATTATGTACTATAGTCTATTCCACCAAACCAGACTACAGGTGTGCCGCTGATATACTATAGTAGCCATTTGTTTTTACACCATTGCGAAACTATGCAACACTGTAACGTCCAAGGGTATCCTTTGCGTTGGTGCTAGACTAGGCTATGTTTGAATGTAGTAAGTTGCACTACCATATACCAAGCCCCTTTGTGCTATGCTGGATTACACGATACCGCATTGCATTGCATAGCAGTCGACACAGTACCACTCAACATTTGATAGTTAATCGTCATCTATGCTCGAGTTTCCTGTACTGGGTTTGCCCGTATTGAAAGGTACTACATTGCACTTTGCTATACTAGACCATACTAGATTATGGCGTCAATGCCTATCTTTAACACATTGTACTATGCTACGCTCTAATAACCTAAATTGAAACATTGTATATCACATCATATGCATATCCGATACAAGCAATTGAAGGCCCTTCGATTAGTCCAGTGAAAGAAGATTAGCCTAATGGGAAGTCGAACTCGTGATTTTGCTCAGTTTACTCATCGTATACGTTGACATAACACACACTACCAAAGAAAGCACAGCCTCAATTCGTACTTGCGATATACCCCGCCATTTTGGCACCGAGGGTACTGCGAGCAGATACCCTGTGGTGTCGACTCCGAGCCTTGTAAGTGGATATGTGGTGTGCATGGTACCACATTCTTCGGTTCATGCACGCAAATCGCTCTATGCTCGTGCTTTATATAGTGAATCAGAACTGACGGCAGAATAGTACACTAGACTCCTGACTATAATTCGCTATACTATGCTAGCGCACTATACCTTGCTATATCATGCTATGCTCTACTATACCCTCCAAAAATAGTAAACATAGTAAACAGGGCCATGCAACAGTGTATTTTCCTACACCATGCTGCGGTAGTGCTATACTAGACTATCGTATCCCATATAGTGTATGCTATACCACACTGCAATATAGCGTCAACGCTACAATATGCTATCGTGCACTTTACTGCCAATGTCATATCACAACATACTGTAATACACCAGACTAGAACATAAGGCTGATCTATGTCTTCTACCTTCGACCTACAGTATTCATATTCAACAGGTTCGTATGATATCAGACTACCATAATCTGTACCTATAGCACAGTATACAGCTGTTCTGTATACTACACATACATGATGAACTAGACTGTACGCCGCAATACTGCACTATACTGTTCTGTCCCATATTACGGGGCACCATGCCATATTATATCTTACGCTCCAGTATACGGGCACCATGCCATGTTATATCTTACGCTCTACTATACTATACCATACTTTTGTATGCACATGCGAAAAGTACCACAATGCCACGCCTGGTGCCTCATAAGTTACATTAAAGCCGGGCCGGATCCTGGTCAGAGATTTTTGGGTAGCTTAACATTGGTTCATGAGAAGCTTCATGAGGAGCAAGCAGGCCACAAGATAGAACTACCGAGAATACATCGTAGTTCGCGCTGTTTCATATGGCGTCTATCTATAAAGAGCCTTGGACCAAGGTAATATACGGATAGGAAACTACATGAAGGTGGGTCTTCGAAGGGGGTGACCATGGCTGCTTCTGGATGGGTGTTGCTCATTTTATGTTTTCGACTGCTTGATGTTGTGATCCGGTGTGGAACAAACAAGCGTCCACAGCGTCCTCCTCCCCTCCCAAACCCCAATCCCTATACCCTAAACCCTAAACCCTTAACCCTATACTCTAAACCCTGAACCCTTAAGCAACTAAACCCGAACCCGCTGGGTTCACAAGAACCTTCTAGGGCTTCTCGGCCTCCAAGCACTCCTGTCGGAAGCCCATCTCCAAGAGCCTCGTTTGGGGTTTAGGGTTTAGGGTTTGGGGTTTGGGGTTTAGGGTTTAGGGTTTGGGGTTTGGGGTTTAGGGTTTAGGGTTTGGGGTTTGGGGTTTAAGGGTGCAATAAGGGTCCTTATGAGGGTTTTGGGTTTAATAAGGGTCCGTATGAGGGTTTAGGGTGCAATAAGGGTCCTTATGAGGGTTTAGGGTTTAGGGTTGGTAAGGGTCCTTATGAAGGTTTAGGGTTTAGGGTATCAGGGTTTAGGGCCTATCTCCGAGAGCCTCGTTTAGGGCTTACGTTTGGCCTGAGTGACAATTAGAGTGAGGTTTGCGGGCACAAGGAACTGCAAGGAATCATATTGGTAAATAGGGGTAGGGATCTTCTGGAAGGATCGTATAAGGGTGTTGTAGAGGTAAGGGGCTGAGGGCTTTAAGGTGTGCACCTTCTGGCAAGCTGTTTCGGATATCATCTGCAATAAGCTTCTGCAAAGCTGCTCGGGTTTAGGGCTTGGGGGTTGGGATGTAGGTAGCTTTTCAGTCTTTGGGGTTGTTCTTGATGTTGGGGCCTTCCTCCTTTTAGGGTTCTGGCGCGTCATGGTTTACGGCTTTCGGGCGGTGGAGATCTGGCGTGGGCCTCATGGACTCCCTGGTGGGTTGAATTGCTCCTCGCAGGTAAGAGATCCCTACATAATGAATCAGGGCCATGAACTTCAAACCACGAGAGGTTCCCCCAAATCAAGGGAACCAGAACGCCAACAACACAGCTGCCTAACTAAAGAGAAACCTCGACACCCTATCAGCAACCCGCAACCCCGGTACGTTTAAACCCTAAACCCTTTCAAACCGGGGCGCAAGGCTTGTAGCATCAAGCACCGTCCCCGAGAGGGGATTTAAGCTGATTTAGGTGGTGTCAGGTTCGGGGTTTAAACTCGAAACCCGCATCTACTTTCGTACAGCAGGCGCCGTTCCGATTGCTTCAACTCATCCTAGTTAAACCCAGTTCCAGCGTACGTCCTAAAGAATGCTTCTGCCTGTCAGCTTCGTCGAAGACAACAATCTCCAACAGCTCCATGTGGACCTGGATATCAGAATTTGCTGCCCTCCAGGTGTCCATGTATCCATGTAGTGTATGCCTTGCTGAAGCAGCAACTGTCAAGTGAATGGGAAACCCTAAACCGCGCTGAATATATAAGATTGCGTAGGTAAAGTGGCCCTTGAAGTGTTTTAAGCTGAGAGCACAGGATGTTGACTGCATGCGACAAGCAAAGCCTTGCAACAAAGTAAACCTGAAGAGGTAGAAAGACAAAACTTGCCAACCTTGAGGCTCGTGAATCTGTCACTGCAGGGCTCTGTCCATGACGGCTGCCCTCACGTAACTCCGAAAATCGACCTGAAAGGAGTCCGTAAAGCAGTCATTCATCATTATTTATTCTTCTGCCGAATATCTAGAAGCTTTAAATTGAAGGAACCTTCCTAGACCCCCCAGCTACCCTCCATCATACCCCATATACACACTATTGAAGACCATACGGGCTCCATTAAAGTGCCTTTTGTGGGCGGGGGCGGGGGTCCTGGTTAATCGGCTACCCTAAAGCCCTTAACCCTAAAACCCTAAAGCACTAAACCCAAACCCCTAAACCCCTAAACCCCAAACCCTATTTATAGGAACCTACAACTTAGAGCACCCAAAAGTGTACACTTTCAGTTATATACATATATATATATATATATATATATACATATATATCTATTGGGTAATATTATCAGGTTTGGGGTTTAGGGAACCCACTCAGCTACGAAGATAAAGCTGTGGCCCGGCACAGAATGGCTGTTCATCAAATGGTCCAGGAGACCTCGGTCAAAACCCAGGAAGCAGGGAGTTTTCTAGGGGTTTAGAGTAAAAGCCAGAAAGTTGGAATATGGTTTCATGATAGGATACCCTATAATTTACCATAGAAGGGTTAGGATAATCATATTCCAACTTTCTGGCTTCTACTGTAAGGGGGTTCCTTTAAGGATTACTATAAGGGTCGCATAAGGGTACTCTAAGAGGTTCAGGGTTTTAGGGTTTAAGGGTTTAGGGTTTAGGCATTTAGGGGTTACACAGGATTTAGGGTTTAGGGTTTACTGTGTAAACCCTAAACCCTTAAACCCTGAAAACAGGAGACCTCGTGTCGGGCTGTTGCACGCAGCCATGGGTGCACTAAACTGCTGGGCCTCTGTGTATACTACAGTTACTACAGGGGCCTGCATAACTGGAATAGGGTCCTCGGATAGAGCTATTGTACTGTGTTTATAAGACGGAATCCCAAATCAGTGGTAATCATATAGACTCCCGTTGATAAGACGGAATCCCAAAACAATGGTACTCGTAGAGGCCCCTATATTGGGCATCATGGTTCTTTCCTGCTGTCGGATGATGCAGAATTATGTCTATCGGCAGCAGTTCCGGCTTGCATCCCGGAGGTTTGGGCTGTAGGGTCGAGGCTTAGGGTTTCAGGGCTTTGGGGTTTGGGGTTTTGGCAACGAGCTTGCGGGGTTGAGGGTTTGGATGCAAACCCATACTTTCAGGGTAGAAGCCTAGAAGTTTGGACTGGGGCCAGGGGTCGGATTGAGCATGGAAGGCCGGATTCCTAATCCTATCTACTCTTCCTTCCTTATGCCAAACGGCTTCACAAAGGCAGGAAGCCAACAGTATCTGTGCCTTATGGTTCCAAAACTTTTCTCTTTTTTCCTAAACCCCCAACCCCTATAAGCCCTAAACCCCAAACAATGGACCCTAGATCCTAAGCCCAAACCCCAAAAACCCTAAGCACAAAACCCAAAAGTCCCTTGTATGACATCAGCAAAACCTCTGCAGCTCCTTCTGAGCCTTCCTTTAAGGCTTCGTTTTAGGGTTCCTTTAAGGGCTCGTTTTAGGGTACTTTAAGGGTTTCAAATGGGGGTTTAGGGTTGAGGGTATCATGGGGAACTGAAGGTTAACCTTTCGGTTATAGAGGGATTATATAGGGACTATACTACCCCAATAAGGTCAAAGCTTACCTACTCTACTACTAGGCCAAAGGATCGTGGCTACATACATAGCAAAAACTAGGCATTCCTATTACGGTTTGGACTTAAGACCTTGATTGAAGCAACAAAAGCTCTCAGACCTGAACGCAAGGCCCTGAACCAACCCAGCCATGCGACGTCCTGGTGTAGCCACCACTAGATCGGGCTGATTTCGAAGGGAAGTCGCCTGTGAACGCAGGAGATGGGCCTTTGTGCCGCCCATTGGGATCGGACTCACAGCTTAGGGTTTAGCAGCGTTCAGGTGTCTCGGAAACCCTTCTCAGAGCCCATGTCAACAAAACAAAACCTGTAGAATCTCTTATACATCCAGAGATCCGAACACGTGGCCTGGTCTTGGGCGACGTAGCCCCCAGCAACCTTTGAGAGCAGGAAAACGAATGCAATACGGGAACCTTTTAGTGGGTCCTTTGTGCAGAATATCGGTCTTGCTGTGTAGCTTGGGGTCTATGCAACAATGTTGGAGTCCCCTGTTTGCCGACGCTCCCGTTGTGCTTTTTGGCGCAGGTGTTGTCGGGGTTTAGTCGTTGAAGGTTTGGTGAGATACCTGGGCACTACAAGCGGTACGTTATCGGTAATGACCCAGAAAAACACAGGCCAACAGCGACTAAGTTGATCTTCTGTGGTTTTTATTCAGCTGCTATGTTATTCAAATCATGTTACAGTCTAGACACCCGGAACCACCTGGAAGTAACTCGAGCTTCGGGTATCAGAGAGCCCAGTATCCCGTGTAAAGACATCTCGTTTAGCAGGAATGCCCCAAACCTCTACGTAGCCCAAAAGACAGGTACTTCAAGCCCAAGATGAAAGCCCCATGACTTCATAACCGTCTTGAGTTTAAGAGCTTTAGAACCCTCCTAAACACCCATATAACACCGTTACAAAACCATGGCAGAAACCCTCTTGATCCCCAAGGCCCTAAAGTAAAAGCCAGAAAGTTGGAATATGATTCTCCTGAACCCTTTATGGTAAATTATAAGGTATATCCTACCCTAAAACCATATTCCAACTTTCTGGAGTTCCCTTTAAGCTTGAAACCATCCCGAAACCCTGCAACCGACACCTTCGAGCCAAAACCCACCCAAATCCCCCCAAGACCCCAAATCCTAACACCACTGTACCTACAGGCTCATACCCTACCCCCTTTTTTAAGGCGCTTACCGTTTAAGATAACAGATCCGAATCCTAACCATAAAACTAGATATCCTACAAAAGGGGGTAGGGTATGAGCCTCTAGGTAGGGTTTAGGGGAAACCCTAAAACCATAGATCCTCAACTCTCAAACCTTAAACCCTAAACGCGAAAGCCCCAGACCTTAACACAAACCCCAAAGCCCTAAACTCGAAAACCCTAAAGCCTGCACCCGAAATCCTCTAGTCTCAAGTCCTAAAACCCTAAAATCTACAACCCTGAACCCTGCCCTACTGTAGTTGGCCTTAACAAGTAGAATATAGTTTGTAATACTATAACTATAATAAGGAACCCCCAAATAGTATTCGCAATTATTCAGGCCCCTATACTAAATCCTCAAAGTAATTCGCCCTTATAGTAGACCCCTTTGAAGGAACCCTAAACCCCTACAGAATGACCCCTATAAAGGTCCTTATAATGTAGAACCCCAAAGCCCTAAGCGGCTTCTTTTAGAAATGCTCTAAACCCTAAACCCCTAAACCCTAAACCCTAAAACCCTAAAGCCCTCGACCCAAGCCGCGGGCCAGCTGATATGTGACGCTCGTGTACCTCGCAGGGGCTGTCTGGTTCTTAATAGGGAATGGGGTCTTAAAGGTTCCTTTAAGGGTTACGATAAGGGTATAAGGTATACGATGAGGGTTGTACTATAAAGGGTTATACTAACTATAGGGGTTTAGGTTCTTTGTAGGGCATGGGGGAATGGATTGTGGAGACTTTTGTTGGGGATTACAGAGGGGCTACTATAGGCATCCATTCCCCCATTCCAAAGGTTATGTCAAGGTTTTACACGGTTTTAGTTAGGATGCAAGATAGGAGCGCTAAAACCAAGGGGTCTTCATGAGAATGGAGGAGCGGCAGCTCACACCCATACTGTCTGGTTCTTAGTAGGGAATGTGGGAATGGACCCCTATAGTAGCCCCTATATAATCCCCAATAACTGTCTTCATGATCCCTTCCCCCATGCCCTAACCCCTAAACCCTATAGATCCCCTTAAAGGATCCCTTAATGAGACCCTAAATCCTCAAAGGGATCCATTCCCTACTAAGAACCAGACAGCATAGCCTTTCAATCAACATGCACGAAGTGCCTTGAACCATGATACCCTAAGGCCCCGTGCTCTGGTGCTGAAGGTGGCTCCGAGACAGGTACTGGAAGAGAGGGACAGAGTACGTACTACTTGAAACCCTAAACCCTAAACCGTGGCTCCACAATGCAAGAACCCTAAGGGCTTTCGAAGCGAAATACAATACCACCACGCATCCCCTTATAGAGCCCTTAAACAGACAAGACTTTTACTTGGCCGACTTCTCAACCCCGCCTAAAAGTTGAAATCTTAGTCTCCTGTTTATAGTTCATCTAGAAACCCAAAGTAAAAGTCCTCAGAGCTAACCAGAAAAACGTCAAGATCGCCGGCCCGGTCACTTTGCGAGGTCTTTGAGCATCTCGTGGCACTGCCTTGGCAGGGCGGCGTAGCTCGGAATCAGGATCGGATCATACGTTCTTCGCAAGGAATAGGGTTCCATTAAGGGTTACGATAAGGGTTATACTATAAGGCGACTAAGAACCCTACACCTGCTATAGGGGTGTAGGGTTCTTAGTCGGCTGTCTGGTTCATAGTCAGGAATGGGGGAATGGATCCCTGTGATAGTCCCTTCAGGGTCCCTATAGTAGTCCCTGCAACCCATTCCCCCATTCCCTACTAAGAACCAGACAGTCGGATGACCACTGAGATACTGCTCGGAACGGTAGGGTGCTTACCGATCTAGTCTAGAGGCCTCAGCAGCCGGAATACGGTTTTGGCGTATGTTATACTACAAATGCGATAGAGGGTTAACCTGCGGCGGTTTTTTGGGGTTTGGGGCTTGTGCCTGCGAAACAAGATGCAACGCAAGCAGTGCTCCCTACATACCAAACCCTAAACCCCAAATCAACAATTAAACCAATAGACCCTATAAACCCCCAGACCCTAAACCCAGCTGAGCTTCCGGCACGGCCAGCTCTCTCGTGGGGATCATGACCACAGCTTTGGTCGCCACAGGTCCTGCACTTCGGACATCATGCCGTAAACCCGAAAGTCTAAACCCCGAATCTCCCTAAACCCCGAATCTCCCTAGGCCTTAAACCCAAAGCCCTAAGATGGAGATACATTGGGCTCCGCCAAAAGATGATAAGGTTTGGTGCCATGTTCGTCCCTGATAGAGAAGTCCATCAGCATGATGGAATCGCTGTACAGTATGAGCCCAAAAGTTGGCAACTCAATAGCCTCAATCCTTAAGAGCAATGTATAGGGAATCCTAGCACTATTTGTCCTTAATCCGGTTTCCAACTTTATGGGGTTTACTGTAAGGGGGACCTTTAAAGGGATCTATAAGGGTACCTTTAAAGGGATCTATAAGGGTTCCTTTAAGGGTTCCTATGAGGCAAAAAGTTGGCTGTATAACGTGATACTGCTCCACCAACTCCATGATGGACCCCATGGTCTCCTCTAGAGAGCCCGTGGGAATGGCGGGTGACAGAGGGGTCTTTGTTAAGAGGTCTTGAGATCCAACTACCCTAAGGCCCCAAAGTAGTTCCTTTTGGGGATTACCCTAGCCCGAGCAATACAAACACGCCTGAAAGTACGCGTATATGATGTAATATGCCTCCTCAAACACTGATCTATGTAGTGATTAAGGAATTATATAAAGCCCTATAGCACCCACCTTTCTCTTGAGAAAGGCACCTATAGGACCGCATTGGGGGGTGGAGGTTTTTGTTAGGTTTGGGGCTTATGGGCTTAGGGTGTAGGGGTTGGGTGGGTAAAGTAGAAGACAGAAATCACTGTCCTACTGCCCCTTCATTTCTCAGCATCAACCCGTCCTAGCCCCTGAACCTTGAACCCTAAGCGCCAGGGATCTAAGGACTCATATATTAAGGCTTTTGGGCCCAAAGACCATACTATTTCAGGCTTTGGGGCTATTTTGATCCCTAGGGAAACACGACTGTGGCCAGCTGCAGAGAACTTGCTGTGAAACTCGAGGGTGTTCGAATCTCGGGTTTGAGATCGGCGCCCTTCTTGAGGTTTTTGAAGGGATGGCAGAACTCTCTGAGTGCACCCCTCGCGAAATCTCTTGAGGGTTTAAGGTTCCGGGTTTAGGGTTATTAACCTAAGTTGCTCATGCTAAATATGAAGTTAAACCCTAAACCCCAAAACCCCAAAACCCTAAAACACAGTTAGTCTTGTTTACTACAGATCCCAACTCTGGCAATTTGCAGCAAGTAGATTCACCGTGAGCCATGAGCAACCCTCCGAAAACAGGGACCTGTGCTCCTCCAGAGCCCAAAACCCAAGAGTCCAAAGGACCCGATAATTGGGTAACTACTTGAGTTGTGTCTAGTAGCTATGTAGGTCAAAATATGGGGAGAGTATACGATTATTCCGTACTTCTGTTGATGAACAAAATCCTGCATCACCCATTATAAGGAATATACCATATTTCCCATAGTTTAGAGTCCTTAGGGTCATGCAGGATTTTGTCCATCAACCGTTGGACCCTTGAGGAAAGGGTCCTATAACCAGCTTGCCGGCAGCGTCCCTGCGCCGCGCCCGTACGCTCGGGCTTTGGCCTCAGAGTCAGCTGGCCTTTAAGTTCGGGGCTTTGGAGATACCTCACCCTAAAGGGAACTCCAGAAAGTTGGAATATGGTTTCATGGTAGGATCCCCTATAATTTACCTTAAAGGGGTTACGATAATGATATTCCAACTTTCTGGCAATTACCTTAAACCCGTAGAGGATGAAATTCCCTGTGTTCTTTGTATACGATTTGGGTGGTTGTCAAAATTATGGTCCCTTTTTGGGTCCCTATTATAATACGGCACCTAGTATTTAGGGTACCCAAACAGGGGCCATAATTTTGACAACTACCCATTTGATTAAGACCATCTTTCAAGAAGCTGTCTCAGCACAAAGCTGTCTACTGCGCACATCGTGTGCTTAGAGTTTCGACTTGCGGTGAAGACTTAGGACCCTCAACCCGAAACCCTAATTAATCCCTAGACTTAGGGTGCAGGAGACTTAGAACACCTACATGTCCAGCATTCCTACAGAGCTCCGCATTCTGCTTTCGGAATCGTGCCAGGGTGGGTTTTCCGGCGGGTTGCTTTAAGGGTTCCTCAAAGGGGTACTATAAGGGTTCCTTTAAAGGGTACTATAGGGGTTCCTTTAAAGGGTACTATAAGGGTTCCTTTCGAGGGTGCTATAACGATTCCTTTAAGGGGTTTCAGGTAGGGATTGCCAGCCCTCCCCTGGAGTCAGCTTGCAGAAACTGCGGCATGGGAGGCACAACAGAAACAGACAGTTCTGTGATCGAGTCTGTGCGGCACCCGAGAGCAACTTCTTACACATCATAGATTTCGATTGAGTGAGTGGAACTGAAACTAACGTGTTCTTAAAGCTGCGCCCTATAAACCCTAAACCCTAAGAAACTCGATTAATATCTTCTCAAGCATGTTTGATACTACGTGGGCATTGCCTTATACGCCCACCTGGACCGACCTGGCTCCAAAATATAGTAGTAGGGGGGGGGGGGTTAGGGTTTAGGGTTTAGGGTTTAGGAGTTTAGGGTTTAGGGTTTAGGAGTTTAGGGTTTAGGGTTTAGGAGTTTAGGGTTTAGGAGTTTAGGAGTTTAGGGTTTAGGAGTTTAGGGTTTAGAGTTTAGAGTTAGAATAGGGTCGGGTGATATATGAGACTACTGTTGCTTTTGCATAGAGCGGGTGAAAGTGCATAGCGTACAACTGCCCGAATTAAACTTCCTTAAGCTCCAGACCGGCACTGTTTTGAAGTCTAGTTAAGAAGGAGCCCTGGGCACCCTAAACCCTAAACCCCTAAACCCCAAAGTGAGCTCAACCAACATTCTGTGTCTCCGCCTTTTGGGCTCAAGGCTTACCTTTTCCTAACTACTACAGTCCTAAACTCCCACACCCTAAATCCCGAAGCCTTAGACTCCTAAACCCCAAACGCCCTAACCACCAAAAGGGAGTCTGCGAGATTTAGGGGCAGCTTATTTGGGAGTCCTTAGAGTAAGGATCCTACTATTTAGGGTACTATATTAGGGTCCCCTATGTTAGGAAACTCCCAACTCCTAAAACCCAGGGTTTGAGGAGTTTAGGGTTTAGGGTGAATCCCTACGAAGAGCACGTAGGAAAGACTGCTAGTGATCACAATGCCTGCGATAACCAGAAGAATAAGGCTGACCCTGGAAGTAATGCTGGCTTGTGGATTTTGCCGCTTTGGGTTGTATCCAGATCTACTTCTGGTGTGACTCCGAACGACCTCATCTCACACTCCCGAATGCAAAGCTTGCATGCCTGGAACTTGAACCAAGAGGAATCTAGGAATAAAAAGGGTGCCCTTTTTGGTTTAAAGGGGCTTATTAAGGGAACCTGAACCCTTAAAAAAGCGAATACGGGCGTACTCTGGGTCCTAGTCTAGCACCCCAAGCGCCACAGCCATGCAGTGAAGTAGCACAAGCGCTCCAGGGTGGGCAGGAGGAAGGAAGCTGTCTTGCCAGAGCCTCCATCTTACTGATGCAATCAAGGACGACGAAAGAGTGGCAGGAACATAAGGACTACGGTCCTAGGAGGGATTCTTTGGGTACTACGGTTGATGATATAAATCCTGCATTACCCATAATAAGGAATATACCATAATTCTCATAGTTTAGGATCCTCAAGGTTATGCAGGATTTATATCCCTAAACCCCCTACAGATCCCTTAAAGGAGCCCCTTAAAGGTAATTACCCTTATAGATCCCTTTAAAGGGACCCCAGGACTTTTATCATCAACCCGTATTTTGGGATGCACTCTCTCGCTGTCCCTTAAACACCAGAAGCCGATGCGCAAAGCTTTTTGTAGGGCCCCAAAACAGCACATAAGCAAACATTAGGATAGGGATATCCCATATAAACCCACTTATAATGAAGCCCAATAAGGTAGGGATATCCCCATAAAATGCTTATGCTTATGTGCTTTGGGGGTTCCTAGTTTTTGCGAAGAAGCCGCCACTTAGGGCAAAGGGCTTGGGGTTTTAGGTTTACTCAGGAGGGTTTAGGGCTTAGGGTGTCAGGGTTTCGAGGTAGGGCTGAGGGTTTAAGAGAGTACGGCTAGAATGAATGAGGAAACTTTCCTCATAATCTGTTTACTCTGTTCTAGCCAAATAATCAAGGTATTCAGAACTCTCTTTCTATTCTAGCTGTATAAGAACCTTCAGGTGGGTCTCCCTCCCAATCCGAAACACCACGCTACGGCTACTACATTAAGGTTTAGGATCACCTGCTTGCTCAGATTCCCACGGGCCTGTTTCAGCTGTGGCCAAGATGTCAGTGCCTTTGAGCGCGGGCGGGATGACATCCCTGCGAGAGAGGCAGATTTAGTGAGTTCTAAACTTCTAGACTGTAAACTTTCAACCGTCAACTGGGCCTCAACCCTAAACCCTCAACCCTAAACCCTCGAGATCTAGACCCCTGGCCCTTTAGGAATTCGTTGAGTTAGGGTTCAGGGTTTAGGGTTTATAGGGCTTATAGGGACTTGGGAATTCGTTTAGTTTGGGGATTTGGATTTAGGGTCTAGGGCTTAGGGCCGTAGGAATTCGTTTAGGTTGGGGTTTTGGGAAGGTTATGCGGTGCAGGATTGTCGACCTGGCGTTTAGGCTTTGGAGTTGACCTTTATTAGGATGTGTAGGGTCTATAAGGAATTCGGGATTTTATTATGTTGTAAGAGGTCGGGTTGGATTTTGCAGTGTCTTATGGTGTTTTTGAGGTTTCGAAGTTTGCAATCGACAGTTTCAAGCTCTTGCATGCAAAAACGTCACGGGGCAACAGAGTGCAGGCTCGACACCGCAAGCTCGGGGATGCACAGCTTGTTCCCAGAGACTCCAATATCCGTTAATTGAGGAATATACCTTAAATTACCATAGGATCCCTAATATGATTTAAGGAATATTCCTGAATTAAGGGATATTGGAGTCTCTGGGTTGACATGCCCTAGAGTCTGCATTGCAGTTCCTCTCGGGGTATCCGTTTTCATAGTATAGGGTCCTCACCTTAAAACCGGTTTTCAAAAAGAAGGAACCCAAAGACTCCAATATTCCTGAATTAAGGAACATACCTTAAAATATAGTAGGATCCTTAATATGAGTTAAGGTTTATTTCTCAATTAAGGCATATTGGAGTCTCTGGGTAGGACCCGCTCAAATCCGGCCGAGCTTTAAAGCGATCGGGCGTCATTCTAGGAGGGACCCTTAATGAGGACCCCTAGGTATAATAATGCAGCCCATTATGGGGTAGGGGTCCCCATTAAGGGTCCCTCCTTTTCCCCTTTGATCTACGCCCAATACATTGAACCCCGGAAACAACATTCAACAGGAACCCTACATACCCTCACTATGCTCAGATATTCAACCCCGAACCCATGGAAGTCGTACAGACGAAGATTCCTCTACGCTACGATGCCAGGCACTATAATTAAACTCTAAAGCCTCAACCCTACACCCCAAAACCCTGAAGCCCTAAACCTTAACCCGTAAAGCCTAAACTCTGACGCCTCAACTCTAGACCCCAAAACCCTGAAGCCCTAAACCTAAACCCCTAAAGCCTAGACCCTAAACCCTCAAACCCTAAACCCTAAAACCCCTAAGCCTAAACCCAAAACCTCAACCCGTAAAGCGTAAACCCTAAGCCACCAGAAACAGTGCCTGAACCCCTAAAGCCTAGACCCTGAACCCTAAAACCCTAAACCCTAAAACCCCTAAGCCTAAACCCAAAACCTCAACCCGTAAACCCTAAGCCACCAGAAACAGTGCCTGAACCCCTAAAGCCTAGACCCTGAACCCTAAAACCCTAAACCCTAAAAGCCTTAAGCCTAAGCCCTAAACCACCAGAAAGAGCGCCTCTGAATGGGCGTTGGGCACTCGAACTTCAGCTCGGTGCAGGCCTGGAGTTGCAGGGACTTGTAGTGTAGGGGCCAAAATGGGGGTTTCCGAAAATTAGGGGGTACCTTTAAAGGGATCCTTTAAGGGTTCCTTTAAGGGTTCCTATTAGGGATCTATAGAGTTTAGGGTTTAGAGTTTCCGAAAATTAGGGGTAGCCTTATTTGGGGGACCTTGTAATAAGACTCCTACTATTTAGGGTACTATATTAGTGAGCTCAACCACCATTCTGTGTCTCCGCCTCCTTGGGCTCAAGGCTTACCTTATCCTAACTACTACCTTAACCTACAAGAACCTACTTTTTTATAGGGTCCCTATAAATTCCTTATTAGGGTTTATAATAAGAACCTACAGAAAAGTAGGGTTTGGTAGTTTAAGGTACAGTCCTAAACTCCCCTACGCCCTAAATCACCAAGCCGTAAACTCCTAAACCCCAAAAAAACCCTAACCACCAAATGGGAGTCTGCGAGAATTAGGGGTAGCTTGTTTGGGGGTCCCTAAAAGAAGGAGGCTCCTTCGATTTAGGGTACTATATTAGGGTCCCCTATGTTCGGAAACTCCCAAATAGTTAGAATAGGGCTTGGAGGTATATCATACCATAAGAAGCCCCCCAAACTCGAACTAAGAAAGGCCCCTACGTTACTGGTTTTGGGCTGTTGGGTTTGGGGCTCGGGGTTTAGTGTTAGGATGTGTGGGCTTAAAAGGGGTGTTCAACAGATTTTTCTCACTTTGGGATTGGGAGTTCAGGCTTTAGGAGTTTCGGGCTTCGGGTTTAGGGTTTAGGGTTTAGGGTTTAGGGGTTTAGGGTTTAGGGTTTAGGGTTTAGGGTTTAGGGGTTTGCAGAGGTTTAGACGTTTACGGTTAATCTGGTGTGGGAAGCTTTTCGGAATACGGGACAAAGGGGGTTTTGAGTTAGGGGCTTATGATTTGGGATTCTCAGGCTTCCCTAAACCCCTAAACCCCAAACCCACACCCCTGCACCCCTGAACCCTTGAGCCCTAACCCCTAAACCCCTAAACCCAAGGCTTTAGAGTCTTTACGGTTTAGACTGTTGCGGTTAGAAGGTTGTTTCGAAGGCTTACGTGGGGCTTCAGGATCTGGTTTCTCGGGTCCTTTCGTTTGAGGTTTGTGGTCTAGGTTTTGGGGTTTAAGCATTTTGGTCATTAGGCTTTAGGGGTTTGGGGAAAGGTTTTCCGGACCAGAAGCGGAATCCTAATTCATCAACACCCTTCTAAAGTCTTATCATCCCCCTTCTCGGCCCCAGACGAGTAGTCCTTGTTTGGAGTGGTCTTGGGGTCTCTGAATACTCCCTAAAGTTCAAGTCTAACCTTGTGAGCGACACATCGAACAGCCCTCGTGGTAACCCTTGTAAAAACTAACCTTAACCCTAAACCCCTAAACCCCCCGAACCCCAAACGCCTAAACCCAAACCCCTCTAAACCCTACACCCTAAACCCTACACCGCTAAACCCTTAAACCCTAAACCCCTAAACTTTTCGAGAATTCTCCCCTGAGGCTCCGGCCCTCAAAAGCGGCCTGGTCTGTAGGCGGCCACAAGAGGGTTGGGGGCTACTTGGAAAGTCGGGGGACTTAGTAAGTAGTTAGTAAGTAGACTTAGGAAGTAGGCTAATCCCAATTAAGGTCCCCTTTAGAATACTTATGAATCTACTTATTACCCACTTGCTAAGTCCCCCGACTCTCCAAGTAGGTGGTAAGGTTCAGGGCCTGGGGCTTAGGGCTTAGGATTCATGTTGGGGATCGGATCAAAATTGTACATTTTTATTCCATTATTGGGTTTAAGTACCCAAAAAACTGTAAAATGTTACCCAGATATGACAAAGGTTTAGGGTTTAGGGATTTGGGGCTCGAGGGTTGTAGGATTGAGGCATTTAGGGCTTTGGGGCTTTGGGCGTTGAGGTTTACGAGTTTAGGGCTTTGGGGCTTGGAGAGTTCATTTCTGGGGGTTTAGGGTTTAGGGTTTTCGGGTTTGCTGCTTTGGCTTGAAGGCGGAGGGTTTAGTGCTTAGGATGATAAAGAGTCGGGTTTCATAGCAATCGTTGCTTTCGGTCCCTGTTGCGAGACATCGATGCTGGAGCCTGTGCACGCACTGCGGCCCTCTAAAAGCGATACTTCCCTTTCAGGCTTTGACCTCCGGATACACACACTGCGCCACAACTTGAACCCTCAACAAGCACCTGCACAAAAGCTTCAAACACGACAAGCTTAGCTTCGCTTTGCCCGTAAGGTCAGCCGTCATTTGTCACTTGGATATTGAAAACAAATCAGTAATTAGTAAACTGCCCTCTTCAATCGGTTTAGAGCCACGCCGATGCCCTCCTAGCCCGCAGCGGATTCCCGGAGGATGCACGCGCTTCCGGCACTTCCGAGGTGCCGCGGATGCGAGCAGGGTCGGGGTTCTGACATGTTCCCTATACTTGGAGGTTAACGGGTAGTTATAAGTGGTGTTATAGGTACCCCAATATAGGTTATGACCAGAATTCTTATCCTACTTATAACCCTCCTGGTAACTATGTATACCCGTGATCGTGAACCTCCCGGGTAACCCCCTAAACTCCAACCCATTCCAAGCGGAACCCCAGGCATCCACCTCCATAATGCTCGTTGAAAAGGATGGCTTAAACCCTGTTTCCTGAAGACCCAAAACCCTGCCCGTTAACGCAAGCACGGACAGAAATCAACCGTGATAAGAAACCGTAGAAGCGTAGGTGCTGACGGGTTGTGGTACCCTGAACCCCGGCAGTTCTCAGAGGCAGACCGAGAAAGCCGCAGGTCTGCAAAGTGGATGTTGGTCCGCAGATGCTCCGGAGTGCCTCCAGCAAAGGGGCATTCGACCGGACACGGCTGAGCAAGTTAGTCTTTGAGGTTCGTAGGGTTCAGGAAGACTAGGAATGCCAATTGAAGTGTGGCTTCAGGGTTGCGGGTTTTAGGAGGTGTTGAGGGGGTCATGGTTTAGAGGCCTTAGGGCTTATAGGGTTCGGGGGCTGTCCCAGCAAAGACCCAAATCAAGAGTTGCTGCTGATGCCATACTTACCCTAAACCCTATAAACCCTTACCAGTAACCGAAACCCTAAACGCGTAACTCGACTCATCATGCCTTGCCGGTGAAGAGCCCTAGCCTGCCTTTTTAAGGACTTACATAAACAAATCATATTAGGGAACCCTAAAAAGGTAGGTTCCTTAGGGTCCAGGCAGTGTAATACATATTTTGTCTAACCGATTTTTGCCGACCATTCTCCATATTATAAGATCGGAACCGTGAAGCTGCTTCACAGACAAGGAACTGCAAGGGAGACTCTTAGGTAGATCTTGTCTTGATGATCTTGAAACCCCTTCTCTAAACACTAGACTTGGATGCCCAGAAACCTAGGAATAAAAAGGGCTCCCTTTTGGTATTTGGTAACTGTATAAGGAACTTTGGACTACAACCAGGGAATAAGGGTACTACTGGGCATCCCAGTAGACTTACATCCTGAGTACGAGGGAGTTTCCGAAAATTAGGGGTACCTTATTTTGCGGTCCTTAGAATAAGGATCCTACTATTTAGGGTACTAGATTAGGGTCCCCTATTTTCGGAAACCCCACGAAACTTTGAAGTCTCCACTTCAACAGCCAACCGCCATCCCTTACCCTTCCAAACCCTAGAACTCTAAACCCTAAACCCAAAAAACTCTTATACACTACTTGAGCCACATCCTTTCTTAATGATCCGCTTAAGCCCTCCTTCCTGCAAGAGGGGGCCTTCTGGCGCCTCCGGAGTATCAAACCTCCAAGAAGCTAGCTGGAGAGCTGTTCTGGGCTGATAAAGGCGTTTCGGGTCTAGGACTTTGCGGCTTCAAGGGTTTAGGGTATAAGGCTTTAGGGGTTGAGGGTGTGTTCTTGTTTTTTTTCGTGCTCCTTCCTCCCAGATTCGCTAGCAGTGCTTGCCAATCCAGCCGAGGCCGATATACGGCCGGGAGATGAATGCCTCCAGGGGTTTATTTAGGGTTTAGGGCTTCACGGGTTTTAAGGTTGAGGGCTTTAAGGGTTTCATCGTGTTGGAGCTTTTGAAGGGTTTAAGGTTTTGCCCTAAACCCAAACCCCCTAAACCCCTTAACCCTACACCCCAAACCCGAGGCAAAACGGGTAAACTCTGACACCCCAGACCCCTAAACCCTAAAATCCTAAACCCTAAAATCCAGAACCCCTAAACCCTAAACCCCAAACCCGAGGCAAAAGGGGTAAACTCTGACACCCCAGGACCCCTCTGAGGTTGAGGCTCAGTTACCGGCGCGGGCTCCGGTGGAGCCTCCTGGCTGCAAGCAGCGTGCGAGAGGGAATTTAGGGTTTACCTTAACCCTGAAGAACCTATCTTTTTAAGGTTCCTGATTAACCCTAAACCCTAAACCCTAAACCCTATCTAAGTCCTTAACAGGGTAAGTTATTCCGGCTTAGGGTTTAGGAGTTTAGGCTAGAGGGGCCTGGTCGAGGGTTCTGGGGTTTTAGGCTTTATAACGGTTTAGGCGGAGCTTGGGGTATACGGGCCTGGTAGGCCTTATAGGGCCTATAGGTTTTACAAGGGTTTATTCAAAGGGTAAAAGGAGGGACCCCTAATAAGGACCCCTAGGTATATACCCATAATATAGCCATTACATACCCATTATATAGCCCATTATAGGCTAGGGGTCCCCATTAAGGGTCCCTCCTTTTCCCATTTGATTTAAGGTTCAGGCTGAGGGGTGTTTAGTTTGAAAGGCTTGGGGTCTGTCCGGCATTTAGGGGGTTCCTGGTTTCATGGGCAAGGGGCGACGTTAGGGCGACCGGACCTAGGGCAGGGTTAAACAGATAGTTTAGGTTTTAGGGTCTACCTATAGTCTCCATTGTAGTTTCTTTTGGGGAGTTACTTTTTAGGATCCTTATTATAAAAATGGTTAAACCAAAAAAGGAACTACAATGGAGACTATAGGTAGGGTTTAGGAGATCCGTTGTAGTTGCGTAATGTGCATCTATAAGGTTCGATGATGTTCCAAAGGGTCCAAAGACTCTGTCCTTAAGGAATCTACGTGACGCTTGTGACGTAAGCGCATCATATGAGGGTCAGAATACTTACAGTAGGATTTGGGGCATATGGCAGTGTACCTGACTCTGCTGACTATGTAAACAGTTTTACCTTAACCTACCATACCCTACTTATTTGTAGATTCTTATTCTAAATTTTAATATGGATTTTATAGGAACCCTACAAAAAAGTAGGTTTTGGTAGCTCAAGGTATATATACTTAGGAGCCCTATGGAATAATATTGCTAAGTCTTCCGGCGTCTTGAGTAGGCAAAGAAGATGGGGTTTTGGGAGCTTAGGCTTTGTAGGGAGTTTCCGAAAATTGGGGGCCCTAAGATAGTACCCTAAATAGTAGGATCCTGATTATAAGGGCCCCATAATACGGTACCCGTAATTTTCAGAAACTCCCACATATATTCTACCCTAGCCTCGAACACACCATCAAGCCCATACCCCCGAAACTAAACCCTAAACGCTAAACCCCGAACCCTAACCACCCCCCCCCCTCTCCAACTCCGCCCACACCAAAACAGAAAAACGTGGCCTCCGTTGCAGACTTGGCCGCTTTCTTCTTGCTCTTGGCCTTGGCCTTCTTCCCCTGTTTGGGGCCCTAAACTTTATAAACCCTAAATATCCAAAACGTGGTAGCCTTTTGGGTTTGGTAGCATTTGGTATCCTTTTGGCTTTTGGTAGAGTTCCGAGAAACTCTTTGAGTCTAAGACTCTGGGGTGTGCCTAAGCCGTACAGCCTGTGGCGAAATTCGGGTTGAGAGAAATGCGACACTGACCTTGTAGAACGCGCCCATGCAGGATCCGGGCCCTAAGTCTTAAACTTGTTTATTCCAACTTATAGCTGATTTGGGAGTTTCCGAAAAGAGAGGACACTAATATCATACCCTAAGAAGTAGGATCCTTATTAGAGGGACCCCAATATGAGGTACCCCTGATTTTCGGAAACTCCCATTTTAACTTATGTACATGTAATGACACGCCCACACAATGTACAGACACGGAGACACACGTACCATGAAGCCACAAGCCCTGAACTTCAAAACCAAAGTCCTGCACCTCGAAGCCCGAGTAGTAAGAGAGATTTCTAGCAAGCTCGGAACGAGTGAGCCCGGTGACAAGCAGGAGATATCAGTATTAGTACTAGTACTACTGTTAGTATTAATACTAGTATTAGTATTAGTACCAATATTAATATTCTTCCGACCATCCCACATCGCCCTCCTTCATGCAGATAGGAACGACCGGGTGCCTGATCTGGATCGAGTACACCCAACACGAAACAAGAGGCTTAAGAATGGTTGTGCTCTGTGCATTCTGCGTGGCGAGTGGGCGGACCGGCGTTGCCTTCTCTGCCTACTTGTCGGGTATCATGGGGAACTAAAGGTTAACCTTTTTGGTTGTTCGGGATACCCAGAAAAGTTTAAAGGTTGCCTTCGACTACTAGGTCTTTGATGCTCCATACATGAAGTACGGCCGGCCTGCGAGAGGTCATAAGAAGGATCTCTGGGAAGCCTCAAAGGAAAGCTTCATAGAACCCTTTTCAGGGCCCTTGTCGAACCCTAAACCCTAAACCCTAAACCCTAAACCCTAAACCCAGAAAGATCCCATAAAGGAACCCTTAAGGGAGCCGAAGGCAAATCTCGAGCCTTCGCCTTGCCTTCTGCTTTGGAAAGCTTGGATTCTAGCCGCTCCCTGGAAGGCTTGGGGAGTTCAAGGGGTTATCCGGGTTCTTGTTAAGAGGCTAACTTCAACTTACCTTTTTTTAGGGCTCCTTTAAGGGAGGGTTCTTGTCAAGGGATTATGTAACAAAATTCGGGAAAAGCAGTCCTAGTTCATCTGGCTCCAACCTAGGATGGTCAGTAAGAAAACCTAAACCCTAAACCCCTAAACCCTAGGGTTCAGGGAGTTCGCAGCACAGGACTGGGGAGAGCAATGCTCGAAGTCTTTAGGGGCTCTAGGGATGGGATTTAGGATTTAGGCTTTAGGCTTTAGGCTTTAGGGTTAGGATTTAGGCTCATGGTTTACCTTATAACCTACGAAAACCCACTTGTTTGTAGGTTCGTATTATAAACCCGACTACCGTAGGAAGTTTATAGGGAACCTACCAACAAGCAGGTTCTGGTATGTTAAGGTAGGGTGTAGTGTTTCGGGTTGTTGACCGAAAAAAAAAGCAAATGACAGCACAAGAAACACATCCTAATATGGGGGGCCTTAATAATTAAGTAGGGTTTGGGGGGTATTTTATACCATGATATACCCCCAAACCACATTCGAATCATTAAGGCCTAATTACATGTAGTGAGGAAGTACACAAAAAGCATAGGTAACTCTTTAATCCCCTGCGACTGGTTCCCCCCACCTGGACTTTGTAGTATCCTTAAGGGAGGGGGGTCCAAGGGGGGTATATAGCCTAGTGATCCCTAGTTCTCCCTCAGGTTCGCTGACAGTCCCCTAAGGAATCCTTATACCCTCCCCCCTTGAACCACCCTCCCTTAAGGATCCTATAGTGGACTCTAAGACAGAAACCTACCTAAGAAAGAAGCCCACCTATTTTTCAGAACTGCTACCTGGACTCCCGCCCAAACTATGTAGTTCTTTTCTAGGTGCTGGGTTTTACCTACTTTTGGGGGTTCAGGTAGAAGGAAATCATTGTAAGGAATCCATCGCACCACTTCCAGAAAAAAACTGGTTCTCTAGGGTCCAAGTAAACTTGAAGTTCTACAAGGGCATGCCCGGAAGGCGTAACCTGTGAAACAACGCAGCCGCCTTCATAATTGAACTATTGGACGAGGGTTCTGGGGGCTGGGGAACATTAAGGTGTGGTGCTGGTCATTCTCAGTCCCTGTGCTACCGTAGGATCCTTTCAGAACCTTAAACACCCAAACCTGCGAGGATCCTGAGTACCCATGATGTTTGCGGGCTCTGGCAAACCCCCATGTAGATGCCTGGGTTTCAGTAGTCAAGGAACGCTTTAGGGCTTGGGTTTTAGGAACCCCAATGAAGGGCCTGATCTTCTCCTCCAGGGCAGAGGAGGTGCCACCGACAGCACCGCGCTCCTCTCGAAGGTTTTGAGCTTTTGATATGACGGCAAAGCCGCAAGAAACAAACACATAACTACCTGTAAACCTATCTACCTACCTCATCAATCTATCAAGCTGTCTATCCATCCATGCATCCATCCATCCATCAATGCGTCCGTCCGTCCATCAATCCTCTCTCCGTCTACCTATGCATCCATCCCTCCACCCACCCGCAGATTGAGTGCATGGATTAATCCTTCTTCCGCTGACCTTGTGTGCAACACGCGGTTTTCCAAACCATAAGCTCGAAACAACATCGGGCGTAGGGCTGCAAGGCTTCCGGCTTTGTGGTTTCGGGGTCACGATGCCGGACAGGCTCCCCCCCCCCGCCCCCACCCCTCAAAGACAAAAAGGATAGATCAGCCGCGGGTTTTTGCAAAGACGGATTTGGGGCTTGGTGTTTATGGTTTGTAGCTTGCCCCACCTCCTTCTGTGCGACCTTCATATCAAGCATGCGAGAACCGGCCGAAGCGGCTAGGATTACGGGACCCTAGGGGATACAGAACCTCTCCATAAGGCTATAAGGTCCCTTCTGAGAAAGCCAGAAGAAGGGTTAAGAAGGGTCCTCTTTGACGGGTCTTCCCGAACTCTAGGCTCGGAGGATACGTCTTGCAGGAACCTTTGGCCTGAATATCCGGTTTCGAACGAACAGTCGCCTTCAAGGGTTCAGGGTTTCGGGGCCATCACCAAATCCCCAAACCCCCCAACTTCAACCCCTAAACCCCTTAACTCCCAAATTCGTAACCCCGTGAACCCTAAAACCGAAACGCTAAAACCATGACCTCGAGTCGGCATGCTACGTACTCAGAGCCGGCGTCCTCAGCGTCGTGCGTGTCGAAGCTCCACTTCGCCGCCTCCTCTTTGCCCAGGACTTAGGGGTTAGGGTTGCTTTTGTGGTGGGACCCTTTTTTGCAGGTCTCCCCAAAAGCTGCCCAAAGCCTTCCTTCAGGGCGGGCATGTCAGAACGAGATAAATCGTCGAACCGACTAAAGCTAGATCAATAGATACAGGTCAGACCAAAGAAAAGTGACCCCGGAAGTCACACCCTCATTCCTCCATGTTGAGGGATTAAGGGTTTATTTCAACCACTAAACCCTATATGACTATATGATATGCTTGCCAGCTGACCCTATATTCCTAAACCCTAACTAGACCGTAAACCCTCGACCCTAAACCCTACGCCCTGAACCCTAAACCCCTAAACCCTAGTGGTTTTGGGGGTTCCCTTGGCTCTTTAGCTCCTTATTTAATAGGGATTATCATCATCCCTGGCTCCTCAGCTCCCCCAATATCAACGGTTAGACAAAACCTTTAGAGGCTCAGTATCCTAGCCCAAGGGGTAACCTTTTCAGTTAGGGTGGGATTATATTATTTCCAAAAAGTTGAAGGTTACCTACTTAGCTACTAAGAAACATTGAAAATGGCAGACCAACATCAGTTGGGACTCCGCGGCTCATTTTGGGATTAGGGCGGGCTTGTGAAGATTTTAGGGTTTAGGGCTTTAGGGTTGGGAGTCAGTTTCGGGTCGAAAGGGTTTAGGACAGAAGCGAGTTTAGATAGACGGTCTTAGGCTTTTGGGTTCAAGCCTCATGTCTGAACCCACAACCCTTAAGGGAATCCTGCACCCCTCAACCCTGAACTTGAGTCTAAACCCTTCTAAACCCTTCAAGGAAGCCTAAACCCCTAACCTCTGAACGGAAACCGACATCCCTAAACCCTTAAGGCCTGGAGGGGGGGGGGGTAAACCCCTCAAGCCCCTAACATACCCCCTTGTAGGAACCCTTGAGCGGAAGCCTTAAAGGAACCCCAGCTGAAACCCAGAAGAAGCCTTGAAGGAAGCCCACTCGAAACCTAAAAGAAGCCTTGAAGGAATCCTAATACCCCAACCGACACCCAAACCCACAAGAACCCTTCTAGGCACCTGCAGGGTGCAAGATTGCCACTCGGGATGGGCCGCAGCTTGTCGATGTAACCAGACCAATCAGGATCCCAGGGCCGAAGGACAGATAGGCCGGCCTCAAGGATCGCAGCTCGGAGACGGCCAAGCACGGAGGCAAACAAGAACGAAAAGACAACATCGGCAAGCGAGTCCCCTGGTCTGGTGCCGGCGCTCACAAAGGCGAGGTGACCGTGGATGTTAAACCACGTGTCGGCTTGGAAAACTCCCTAAGTAGCGCGGCCGCCCACGGTGAGGCCCCAGCGTCACGAATGATCGCTGTCGCACATAGTCGTGAAGCTCAGAAACCTTTGAGAGAGAGAACCTGAGCAACGTGTCGTCCAGCGACCCGCCAGGGACTAAAGGACGAGCTACTCTGTGAAAAAAAATTCTCGCAAGTCCAGAAAGATAAGCGCTGCACTGCGACTGCGTGTGAGGCTGGCTCGCTGGAACGACCGCGCCGCGTGGGACGCAAGTTGTACTGGGAATCCGCGGTGCCCACCTATTTGGAGAGGACTCGCGAGGGTGTCAAGCCCCTGCCCACACTTGCTGCGGCAAGCGCTGTGAATGCATTTACCAGCGGCTGGCGCATTCTTGCAGTGTCCCCTTGGCCTTCCATATCTGGTGCATGAGCCCTTGGGGTTTAGTGTTTAGGGTTCAGGGGTCTAGGGCTCAGGGGTGTAGGGGACCGAAAAGCTAATTCGCACGGAAAACCAGCCTGGGCGCTCTTCCGGGCCACACGCGCCGGTGGGAGCTCCTCTTAGCGTTTAGTATATATAGGGTTACTGTAGGGTTTTGGGGTTTTGAAGTTTGCTGAGCGGTTCCGGATTTGGGGTTTAGGGGTTAGGGTTGATGGTTCGGGGTTCCTCAAGTTTGTTTTCACTCTTTAGTCGGAGCTTTTGAAAGGTTTGCATAATGCAAGTTGATGCTTAAGCTAAACCTCCTCAAGAAAGTATTCCCTCTTGGTGGAAAGATTCTCAGATGTTTTGGGGTTGATGGTTGTGCATAAATTTCGGCATCAGCCAGATCGTGTGAACGCTTTTGTGGGGCTTTATATAGTTATGGGTCGCTCGGCTGTTAAGCCTGTTGAAAGTGTTGATGGTGTAAGGGCCTTAGATTTAGAATAGGGCTTTGGTGTGTGCTTTGGTAGAACTATATATACTAGGATGACAAGTAACCTAGGAATAAAAAGGGCTCTCTTTTTGGTCTTGGGTAACTTTATAAGGAGCCTAGGACTACAAAGCGGGAATGAGGGTACTACTGGGCATCCTAGTATAGGGACGGCAATGGCTGGGACTAAGAGAGCACCTCCTATCAAAGAGGAAAAGGAGGGACCCTTAATGGGGAGCCCTACCCTATAATGGGCTATATACTGGGTATATAATTGCTATATTATGGTATATACCTAAGGGTCCTTATTAGGGGTCCCTCCTTTTACCCCTGGATCCTACGAAGTTTTCAGACCCCTGAACCTTAAAGCGTATATCCCTGGTTTAGGGTTCAGGGTACTCAGCCCGCTATGCTGGGGCTTTATTAGGGGTGAAGCTCGGGGGATTGGTTTGCTTTCTTTTGCCTCTTTTGATCAGTAAAACCCCTTACAGTTTAAGGAATTCTTCCGACGTTTCACTGATTTGAACCTTTCAGGAAAACCCCTTGCGTTTACGGTGGAAAAACCCTTAGCAAATCCAAAACTCATACAGGGGCGCAGGCACCCCGTGATGTGACAAGCAGCCGCAGCATAGGCGTCCGAACTATAGGATTCGAAATGGTCCATATAATATGGGAGTTTCCCAAAATCTAGGGGAGCCTAACATAGTATGCCAAAAAGCAGGATCCTTATTACAAGGACCCCAAAACATGAGGCACCCCTAATGTTCGGACCCCCCCCCTCCATATAACCATGTCGCTTCTGCACTACACAGCAACTTCGAGGCGAAGATACATGGGTGGTTGTCAAAATAAGGGTTGCTTTTTGGATCCTTATTATAATACGGCACCTAATATTTAGGGTACCTAAGAAGAGGCCATAATTTTGACAACCACCCCACGTGAGATGTAAGCACATATGCATAGCCGTGCCCAAACAGCAATATGATCGCTCTCGACAGCTGTTGGTTCGAAACCCGAAACCCTACAGTTACAGTAGAAACCAGAAAGTTGCAACATCATTATCCTCATGCCCTTAAAGTAACGCATAGGGAATCCTAGCACGAATCATCCTTAATCCATGTTCCAACTTTCTGGGACTCAGTCTAACTGCCCCGAGATTAAAGTCTTGGACTTCCTCATCATGGAGTCCCTAAACCCTAAACCCTATAAGCCCGAAAATGCCCGAGATTAAAGTCTTGGACTTCCTCATCGCTGACCAGGTCGTCGAAGAGGAGGGCGCCCTTGGCTTTGGAGATCACCACCCCGTCGTCCTGAAAAAGGGGCGAAGGGGTTCCTCTAAGGGGCTGCTTTAAGGGATCTATAGGGGTTCAGGGTTTAGAGTTTAGGGATGTAAATCCTGCATTACCCATGATAAGGAATTTGCCATAATTCCCATAGTTTAAGGTCCTTAAGGTAATGCAGGATTTATATCATCAACCGCAGTACTTATATAGACTAGGTTCCCTCAAGGTTTCTACTTATATAGACTAGGTTCCCTCAAGGTTTCTTGAAGTCAGGCTCTATACAGATACCATGAGGTTTTAAGATGAGGGCCTTAGTAATTGGAACAGTGCTCTGGGCTCCATTCTTCAATGGCGGATATGTAGAGCGCTGAGGAAAAACAACTGTAACTACCCAGGCCCATGTAACGTGCTAAGGCTTAGTGCTTAGGATTAGGGCTTTACAGTATAACGGGTTCCCTAAGGGTCCAAAGAACCCAATATTTAGGTACCCGGTTTTAGCGTACTAGTTATGTAGGCTTGGATTTTGGTACAGTACATGATTCTTAGGTACTTGAACCCTTGGAGACTTGGTTAAGGTTCCGACGACCACTGCGCACGATTTCAAGTATCATGATACTGAATCCGGAAAGAGATCCACACATGGCTGTCACAAATACACCTATACTATTTGGGGGTTCCTGATCAAAAGTATAGTATAATGGGCCCGAAAACCCTATTCTAATTATTAAGGCCCCTATATTTCCTGAAAGATCCTCAGGTTCTTGCTTGCACTTGCCTTTGAGCCTGAATAATGCCTGTCGGCTAAAGCCAGGGTTTAGGGCTTAGGGCTTAGAGGCTTTCGGGGTGCATGCCCCAAACGTCCGTAACAGCACCAAGTCGTATGGTCGGGAAAAGGCTTTGAACACTGACATCCTAGACGTTTCTATGTGCAGATCCAGCGTGCTCTAAAACTGGGGTTCCTTCTGAAGGAAAACCACGTCCCCAAGAAGGTCGTTGACCAGATCTCAGAAGCCCCATCTCTAGTCGCCATTGCAACTGTTCGGTGAATCTTAAAGGAACCCTGGAAAGGCCCTAAACCCTAAACCCTAGGCTTCATAAGGTCTCGGTAATCCCTCAACAGTAAGTCCTCGCTGTCCCCATCGGCTTGGTCGTCCGCATCTCCGGTGCGAACCAAGTCCATGGCTTTTAGCTGGGTCGGGGTTCGGATCCTGAGATTTGTGTAGAAGAGTGTTTTTTTAAGGGTCCATGTACCCAAACAGTATTATATACTAGTACCTATATAAGGAGGACCACGTTATGCCCGCTTTTGTAAGTAAGGGTAGGGTATTTAAGTGTGGGTTTCTACGGCCTTGGTTTAGGAGTTGAGTTGAACTTGAAATTAGGGGTTGAAGTTGAGGGTTTAGGCTCCCAGGTTTTAATCAAGGGCTCAAACAACTAGAACAACTCTTGTGATGTAAATCTACAGTATACAAACCCCCAAACCCCTAAACCCTACCAGGAACCGTATGGGTTCCTATATTTCTATTGTCCTGAATTTTTCAGGAATTACTCAGGTGTCTATGCTGCACTCCCTTGAAGGCCTGGGGGAGGTTCAAGTCTCATTGTTGCGAAAACCCATGAAGCCTCAACCTAGGATCCTAACAGGAGCACGATGTTCTAGCGGCCCTAGCACAACCCAGCTACAGTCGTGCTCCCCTGCACTCTCGAAATCCAAACCCTGCCTGGACCCTAAGAAACCTGCGTTTTTTGATTCTAGATTTTCGATTTCCTTATATACGGCCTAACAAAGGTAGCTTCTTTTCTGGGGGGTGGGGGGGATGTAAACCCTGAAGATCTTAAAGCTGAGGGGAAAGCGGAAGATCTCCTCTCCAAGAAGCTGAGACTCAAAGCCAACAGCATCGCATGCGTCTTGCGTAGGCGGGTCGGGGTCTACTGTAGGGGCCTTAATAATTGGAATCGGGTCTTGGGCTCTTTTAGGGTAGAGTTATAGACTCACGAGCAATAATGTCCGCTTCTGGTCCTTGTATAACTATGCCGCAGTATACCCTGAATCCACATTCGGTAGCCTGTGGACGTTCCTGTTTATCCTGATGCAGAACTCTAAACCCTAGACCTAAGCCGCAATCCCCACACCCTGAAGCAAACCGGCACGTGCTCATCGTAATCCTGGACCGGGACAGGCCTCAGCTCTGAAAAGCTGAAGATCCTAGTTTGTTTGGGTTTAAACTAGGATGCCCAGTAACCTAGGAATAAAAAGGGCTCCCTTTTTGGTCTTGGGTAACTTTATAAGGAACCTAGGACTACAAAAAGGGGAATAAGGGTACTACTGGTTTTGGGGTTTTCAGGTTTGGGGTTGTGCATCCGGACGGAGGTATCTACAAAGCAATACGGATGCAAAGGAATTCGCCTCTAGCCCTAAGATACTTCTATTGGAAACCCAATCATGACCCAGTAGTAGCCCTATAAACTCTAGAACACTCTAAAAAACTCTGTATGCACAAGCCCTGTATGTGGGAAAACGAGGACTGTTGCTTTAGGGTTGAGCATTTAGGATCGAAGGTAATTTTGTGGCCTGGCTTTGGTGTTTAGCTGTCCTGCCTACAAGGCGTAACTAATATAGGTGCCTTAATAAATAGAATAGGGTTTGGGGGTATATCATACTATCTTTATAATGAGGAGCCCCCCCCTCCCAAATAGTTTTGGTAACTATTTAGGCCCCTATATTAGCGATGTTGAGGACCCGACCCTTTCACAAACACCGAAATCCGTGAATCCCAAAATGACCTGAAGCCTACCATAGGGGCCTTAATAGTTAGTATAGGGTTTTGGGGCCCACCCCCCCCCCCCCCCCCCCCCCGGTGCCCTAAGCCCTGGAGTGCAAGGCGGCACCATTTTGCTCGCAGCCTCTTAAATCAGCCGCAAACCCTGGATGAATTCCTTCAGGAGCACTGCAGTCAGTGAAGCTGCTATCAGGACAAAACTCTTGGCGCAGGGCTTTGCTGCAGAGACTTGAAGGCCTCAAGAAGTGGGATGAAGGTAGGTAGGGTGAAGGATCCCTTGTAGGGACTCTTTAGAAGGGGTCCCACCCTGTAATCGTGATAAAAAGAATTATAATAAGGGCCCTATTCGATTCCGATTATACCACTATTACAGTGTGGGGGCCCCTTCTAAGGGACTCTCATTTTGGGATTATCCCACCTACCTTCATCCACCCCTGGTGCCATTTGCGAGACTGCCATTCAAAAAAAAAGCGGCCACGTTGAGCCCAGGACGTCCGTCTTAGCTCGAGCCTGCCACCACCTACTACAGCAAGGGGAATCATGAACCAAAAGCTATGCTAAACTAGCGCCGCTACTAAGTACGTTCAATTCGGTTTTGAAATTTTGTCGGTCCCCAAACGCTGAGGCAGGCCTTGGTTGCTAAGGCGATCCGTTCAGGGAGGTTTATTCGTAGTACTTCCAATGGTCGCTCTTTCCTACGGACCTTGTAGGCCAAACGCTGTACTTTAAACCCTAAACTTTCCTAAACCCCGAAGCAGACCTTGGACAACGGACCCTGAAAACCAAATCCCTATTCCCTATGAGCCCCAAAAATGTCTAAACCCTAAGCCCCCAAACGCTAACCACGCTAAACCCAAACCCTAAAACCTTAAACCACCAAAGCCGCCACTGAGTGGCTGTCGGCACAGTGAGCAGATCTATGCATGCGGCGTGCACCGTAAAGGGTTCAGACATGATGTCAAAAAAACCCTAAACCCCTAAACCCTAAACCCTGAAAGCCATGCAAAGCAGCTAGGATACCCAGTAACCTAAGAATAAAAAGGCCTCTCTTTTTGGTATTGGGTAACTTTATAAGGAACCTAGGACTACAGAAGGGGAATAAGGGTACTACTGGGCATCCTAGGCAGCGATGCGAGACTGCGAGCCGCTATGGTCAAGTTTCCAGCATCACCAAGTCGTCGAGGAGTCCTTGGCACAGAGAGGCACATCTTCCTCGAGAGCCCAGCAAGATTTAGGGCTTTAGGGTTTAGGGTTTTAGGGCATATATATATATATATATGTGTTACATGAATATAATACGTATATATCATCATGTATAGTATACGTACCCCATGTAATCTTTGATATTGAGGTCGTGTACAAACTCTTATAGTCAATACAGACTACCCTTTGCCTAGGCATACGGGATGCTCGTAGATACACTCAGCAGTGTATGACAAATGACCCTTACATAGTGCAACAAAAACACCACATAGTGCTCGTTTCTATACGAGGAACTTAATTTAAATGCTTGTAACCATTATCTAAGCCCTAAACCCGGAAACCTACAAGCCCTAAGTCTATACCCAGAAAATATCTATGACATCCCTAAATGCACAATCCGGCCTGCCTGACGCCTAGGTAGAAGTCCCAAAAGCAAGTTAGGCCCTAAAACTATTTGTGATTAAGGCCCTATTTGTTAAACAATACTGGAAATTCAAAATTACCCGAATCGATGATTAGCAAACGTCGGGGGTCTCCTTCATCGCGTTTAGAAGGCGCCTTGAGCACTGCAAACATTGCAGTGGCCCGCATTAGCAAAGGGTTGTTCTATACTGAACTTAGAATCCTAGCAACAATTGAAATTTTAGCTGTTTCTTAGGGATTATACTAACCAAAAATTAATACTTCGCCTAAGTGTTGGGTTGTGTTCAGAATAAAGCCTTGGGGCATACCATGCTAGAACTTTGATGTCGAGCCCTGAGGATAACGATCAATACTTATTCAGGCCCCTCTAGTAGACTGTGAGGTCCAGTGTCTGTCTCCCGGGTTTGAGACAGCCACCACCAAAACTTTAGTTGTCCTCGGTTAGGGAATGTGCCAGATTATGCCAGAATCGTGATCCTTTGGAAACCCTCGAACATAGGGGCGTCAATCCTTGGAACCGAGTTTTGGGGTATGTCCTGGTATACCGGCATAATGACATGACAGGAGGGTAACTACAGTATTCAGACCTGTGTCGTATAGCCTCCGGTGTATTTCTCAATGAAGGACTTTTGGCTTCTCGACAGGCTCTCGATCCGGCCCAACCCCTCCAACAGGGCTGTTTCTGGACATAAACCCACAAGGCAAATCCTCTGGTCTCCATGAGATTTCCCTATGATTTCCCTTTAGAGCACTGGATCCTCTATAAGGTCGGCACTGCAAGCAAACCACAGTTTGCCCTAAACCCTAGACTCGAAAGCTGTGCGCCCAGGTCCTTAGACCTTGCGCCCGATCCCAAAACGCTACAACATCCAAACCCTAAATCCCAAACCTCGCCTTAAGTTCTTGAATTCCGCTGGGGCTTGAGGCACAGGTTTCCGGCTTACATAAAGCTTTGTAGCATATGCAGACTGACTAGCCAGGAAAACCCCAAGAACCACTGACAACTCAAACTAAGCCCTTGTTTCGGGGTTTACTTAAAGGCTCTTGGGACTTAGTAAGTAAGGTTATAAGTAGGTTATAATTAGGATAACCCCACTTAGGCGACTTATAACCCCAATTATAACCTACCTACTAAGTCCCATGATCCTTCAAGTAGAGTGTGGGACTCAGGGTTGACCATTTCAGGTTTAGGGCCTCCGGAACACGCCGCCTAAGGCCCGCGCTGCCATCCATGGAAGGAAATCCGCCGTTGACCAACGGGTCGACACTATAGAATGTGTAGTAGCCGCCAAAGACCCACATCCGGTTTGTAGAATCCTCAGCTTACTTGAAGCTTCATGCTATTTCTGAAAGAGACAGGTGGTAGTAGTAGTAGTAGTAGTAGTAGTAGTAGTAGTAGTAGTAGTAGTAGTAGTAGTAGGAGGAGGAGGAGGAGGAGTAGGAGTAGGAGACGGAGTAGAACTAGGAGTAGGAGTAGGAGGAGGGGTAGGAGTAGGTGTAGGACCAGGGGTAGTGCTAGTAGTCGCAGCAGCAGTAGTAGTAGTAGTAATAATAATAATAGTTGTTGTTGTCGTTGTAGTGCAGCAGTCCTGTAGCAACAAAATCAATTAGGTGAAAATGTTTTGCTATGCAGCGCAATGCAATGCAACACGACGGCATGAACTATAACAAGCCAGACAACAGATCAAATCAATCAACAAAATCATGGCTAGAATATGGTGCTGGGGTATACAATACATTAATGTACTACTATGATTAGGTTGAGAAGCGCGAACTGACGAATCATATTCCTTATTCGTCAAGTTAAATCATGAGATCACCAAACGTCCATCGCGCCCGCATGCAGCTCCCTCGGCAGCGTGTTTCCATCTGGGACCACATGGACCCAGGCCAGTGGCTCCTGCAGAACTCTTGCCGTTTGGGAAAAAACACGTTCAGGGCGTAAGGATGAAGGGGTCCAGGGTTGTCACTGCGGGATTGGGTTTAGGGTTTAGGGTTTAGGGTTTAGGGTTTAGGGTTTAGGGTTTAGGGGATGTGATTCTTGGTTGCAGCTTCGGCTTAAGTGTCGTAAGATTAAACCAAACCGGGCCGCCGTTTGCCTTCCTGCTGGGTACCTGCACCCCCCTCTCCGCCCCCGGTAGCCTGAACCCTAACAATACAATCCTTCCTTCCTACATCCCTGCCGCGACTACCCTCTAACAGAGCATAAGTAGGTACTATCCACAAAAGCATAAGAAGGGCTCTGTTAACAGTACACCGGGAATGTCCTGGTAAATGCATAGAAAATTCCATGAAGCAGACAGCTCCCATCATGACCCCTACATGCGACAACGAAGCCTGCTTCGTGTCGAGGTAGAACACGGAATCCAATGACGCGGGGGCCCAGTCTGAGCCAGGAAAGGATGCCAACATCTTGTCCAAGGGTAAAAGAAGGGACCCTTACTATGGACACCTAGGTATATACCCTTAATATAGCTATTATCTACCCTTTATAATTATAGCCCACTATAGATTAGGGGTCTCCCTCCTTTTCCGCTTTCATTGATTGAGAGGACAGATGGGTTAAAGGATAATCATAGTCGTGGTCAATACTGGAGGGTGAAAATCTGCAAAGCTATTCATCGCCACAATCCTTAGCTGCTGGGCCCTAAACCCCAAACCCTAAATCTTGAAGCCCCAACCCCAGAACACCGAAAACCCTAAACCCCTCAAGAATACCGAAAACCCTAAACCCCTCAAGCCCTTATAGAATCCTGTAGTCTAAGTAGCCCTTAAAGGCAACCCTTGAAACGGAGTCCCTCAAGCCAAACCAAGGCTACGAGGTCTCAGCCGTCTGAGGCCCAGGCAAGGATAGGTCGTGCGCCCCCAGTTAACGTCGACCGTTTCCTAGGCTTTGGTTTGGGGTTTAGGGTTTAGGGTTCCCTAACCAAGGAATAAAAAGGGCTCCCTTTTTGTATTGGGTAACTTTATAAGGAACCTACGACTACAAAAAGGGAATAAGGGTACTACTGGGCATCCTAGTTTCCTAGGCTTTAAGTGCCCAAGGCCACGGGATTTTGCTTAAACCTACAGTAGAAGCCCAATAGCCTCAATCCTTAAGAGTAATACATAAGGAATCTCAGCAGGAATTGTCCTTCTTCAGGTTTCCAACTTATTGGGGTTTACTACATGCGCAGGTTTTGATTTAAAATAGCCTGAACTTTGAGGTAGCCAGGGAGACAGCAAGTACGCATTGCTATTCCATAATGGCTCCGATCAGGAACCGCTCCCAAAACAAGCAATAAAGTAATGGTGCTGCAGAACCGAGTTTCCATCGCAGCGCCCCCGAAGATCCACAGCAGACCTCTCGAATCCATGCAGGACCTAAGCCTCGAACCCTAAAACCCTATCCTAAACCCTAAACCCAAATCCCCCACCAGACCTCTCGAATCCATGTTGGCAATTGCCTCTGCCGGCGTTTGGTTGAGAACAGTCCCACTCGTGGATGCGTTCACCCAAAGAGGAGGATCCTGAAAAACTTGTCTGTAAAGGTTTTTGCAAAAGCTCTAGAAGGGGGATTCCAAGGGTATTCTAGGGGGTGTTTCAGGATGTAGGGCCTTAGGGTGTTTTTTCAAGGCGTTTAGAGTCTGGGGTCTAGGGGGCGGTTTAGTTGCAGCTTCGCTTGGCTTTACATGAAAACCTGAAGAAAAGGCGGGGGCCGAGGCTTCGACTGATAGATGAGAAGTACCAGACCCAAGAGTAACCTAGGAATAAAAAGGGTGCCCTTTTTGGGTTTAAAGGGGTTTATAAGGGAACCTAAACCCTAAAAAAGGGAATAAGGGCCTACTCTGGGTCCTAGAGTACCTACTTGTCGGGTACCATGGGGAACTAAAGGTCAACCTTTTTGATTATGTAGGGATTATATAGGGACTATACTGCCCAAAAGAGGTTAAGGGTTGCCTATTCGACTCTAGGAGCAGGTGTTGTAGGGATGAGGTTTTGAACTATGCACGGTTCCAGAATCGTAAGCCTTCTACCGCAAGCTGTTGCAGGGTTGCGGGGGTAATATAGGGGCCTTAATAGGTAGAACAGGCATTTGTGGGCATATTATACCATGGCTAAAATACGGAACCCCCAAAAATTGGTGTCAGTAAGTGGTAAGGCCCCCTTACTAAGGCTTAGGGTTTAGGGCTTAGGGTTTAAGGGTTAAGGGTTAAGGGTTTAGGGTTTAGAAGGGAGAAGGGTTTAGGGTTTAGGGTGGCTTTTTAACACACCGGCCTGTCGAGTGTCAAGATAGAACAGGTCCGCCAAATACTTGTCCGCAATTTTGAGGATCGGGCGGTTGGCATCAGGTTTGAGAGTTCCACCCATGACCCAAAGGCGATCATAGGAGTCCATGGCAGCGGCGGCCTTCGAAACCGGTGGAATGTAGCCGGTGGCATTTACCTGGGTTCTCGGCGAGGAATTCAATCTAAATCAGAAGTTGAAGGAACACACATGCATAAATGTAAATACCAGTAAGCAGGAAAACGAGAACAAATGTATACATAAAAGAAATGTCTCTATGTACATATTCAGTGCAACTGATAGAAATATGGGGGGAGACGTCCCCCAATCATATTAGTAGTTTGAAATATGGAAACCCCACATTCCTATATATGCTGGGTTCCAGGACCCTTTGGGTAATAACAGCCCTACAATCTACTATATGGGTACTTTGGACCGTTTGAGAGTTTCCGAAAATAGGGGAACCTAATAGGGTACCCGTAATTTTCGGAAACTCCCATTTTGGGGTTAACAAGGGCCAGATACCTGGACCCATTCTGGAGGAACCTGTGCTGTGCAGGCTCGAGAGAGATGAGACTTCGAGGTGTCTGGCGTAGACTGCTTAAGGTGTTAGGGCTTAGGGGTTTTAGGGTTTTGGGCTTAGAGGTTTAGGTCCTAGATCTTAGTGGTTCAGAGTTCGGGGTTCGACTGTGTTTCACACCAGTTCAGGCCTTGCTGGTGTCGAGATAGAACACCTCGTTCGTGATGTCTTGCTGCATTCTACCTTGACTTGGCATACGGCCATGAGACCCCAGCCCGAAAAGCACAGCCGAACTAGACCTTAAACTGCTGAGCCCCAAACCCAAACCCTAGGGATCAAAATAGCCCAAGAGCCTTATTTAGTATGGTCTTTGGGCCCAAAAGCCTTAATATATGAGTCCTTAGATCCCTAGGGAAAAGAGCAGGCTGAGGTCCCGGCCAGCATGGCCTCCAAATATCCACATCTTGTTTTCGGAGTCCATCGCTGCAACATGGTGCTGGCGCGGAGTCGGAATGTTACCACTGGCAGCCACCTGGGGGTTTCCGAAAATGGGGGATCCGAAGAGAGTACCCTAAATTAGTAGGATCCTCATCATAAGAATCCCAGAATACGGTAATTGCCCCTAATCTTCGGAAACTCGCACCTGGACCCATACCAGTGGATCCTTCAGGGATACGAGGCTGTGAGAGCTTTAGGGCATCTTGGCTTTCTCTAGGTTTGTTCTGACAAGAATGGTGTCCATACCAAACGGGCAGAAGGGTTTTCCCGCACAGATAGATGCGTAGTTACCGGCTAGATCTCTAAGTCAGGCTTGTTTGGGTCGCCAAACTAGTACGACACCCTTATACAAACTTTTGAGAACGACCCACATGGGCTTTTGGAGTTGTTGGGGTGCTGGCTTGGTGAGGTCATCCCATCGTCTTCTGTGGGCTCTTTCACTGCTTGGGGGTTTACGCAACCTATGAGACGGATGAGACTCCGGATCTACGTAGTATCCGACTTGGGCTTCCGCAACTGTCTGTCAATCCCTTTTATGTACATTGGGTTGAAAACCCGTAAGTTCTGGACATCGGGTCTGCTATGGTCTCAATTGTAGATCCTTTTACGGGAATCCGCATCTCTGTGGTCAGAATCCCATCCAAAAAACAAGGGAATCATGCCAAGGAGACTAGAGGCAGATGGTAGTCTGGCTTGAAAGCCTGTTTTTGACAGCGAGAGGCTCCTTTGGGTTTAGGGTTTAGGGGTTGGGGCTTTTTTGGTTTAGGGTTTTAGGGTTTCAAGGTTCAGGGTTTAGGAGGACCCAAAAGTATGACCATGAAAGCGCTTTGCCGGGCCCGGTGTGAATTCAAAATCTAAAGTGCCGTGAATCCGGAGGGAAGGCTTCAGAGCGCCTCTACCCGACTTATTATGTCCTTATCGGTAGGGCCTTCAGTGGGACAAAATGCTTCACAAAATGACGTCATCATTGAGAGAACTTTCCTCATGTTGAATTCAGTGTCAGGAACCCATCATTATAAAAGACTTTTGGGTATGACTGTGACATCATGCATTGCTTCACATAGCAAGGCATACTTTGCAAGGTCTGTTGCCTTCAGCAGTTGTGCAACTGCTCTCAAAGGTGCCCAGCCAAGAGGCAGGATGCGCGGTGCCACCAACATTTGCCATCGGTATTCGGGCATAGGACCCGATTCTCTGATATCTTCCTGTAGCTACAACCCGAAGCTAAGCTATATTCTTCCGCAACCAATGTTGAGAAGTATTCCAGGCTGCTAGAACATCTACGAAACCTGTCCAGTCCGTGAAAAAGAACTTTAGACTTTAGACTGTAAGATGATGCAGATAGGAACGGTGGTGGCGGGAACGGAAACTCACCAGGATGTCATCCTCCCCAACACGAGTGATGCTGGGACTGCTCGAAAGTATGTAGTCTCACTGAGCAATGCGAAAGAAGCTATCCGTTGGCGTTCTTTCCACCTCTGCTGATGCTCAAAATTTGCTTGCACTTGCTCCTGTGTGTGGGTCACACAGTTTTCTTGCGACGAGACTCTACGTCACTAACGATGATGTATCTAATTACCCACCCAGTGTTCCGACAAGAATAACCAGCAACCCTGACCACAAAACCGGAACCTTGCCTTGGTCAGGTCGATGTAGAACACGTCGTTCATGACTGCAGCAGTCGCTTAGAAGGCTGGAAGGATCGGTACGCAGTGGAATTCGCAGAAAGCTGACCCTACACCATCCTACAGCCTGCAGAGCCCTGTAAACCCGCAAACCTTGAAGTCTAAACCCGAATGCCTGAATCCCCAACCGCACGATGGACTCCGAGAGTTTCGAGTTAGGGTTCAGGGTTTAGGAACCCTATAATGTCTACTAGAAGACCCATGTTTATGAACCCTAATGACCCTAATGCCTGCTAGAAGACCCAGAACCGCTGAGGAATTAACACTTCTCTGTATAAGCACCGTAACATAAAGTTACTAGTTAGAATGGAAGGAGAAGTATGAATCCGGGTTCCACACTACTCATCACTCTTGAACCCGACGTCCGGGACGGCTAATCACTGAAACAACCCATTTCCAACAGTGCACGAAGGCCAGTCCCACTGCTGAGGAGCATGCGATCAGTTTTGTTCGCGCCGCCAAAAATCCACATCCTCAGCTGTGCGTGGACCGCAGCGATTCCCTCCCATGCTTCCGCCCTAGTGCCTGTTCTGGGGTGCCGAGCAGTATCAATTCAGCGAATCCCGAGACCCTAAACTGCTTCTGCTACAGCCTGGTGCGAAGTGCGAAGTCGTGGAGTATCTTGACAGTTTCAGGCGCAGTGCCATGATTAGTGGGTGCGTGTTTTCACTGCTTAGGCGGTTTACCCTAGCATACTGTTCTCCCCGGCTCTTAGTACGGAAGGTGCAAAACGATCCAGGTGATGGTCCCTGGAAGGAAGTCCTGTTAAACCATTGCCCTAAGAGCCAGGGAGTTTTGAGGGAGGCCGAAGATGATGGCACTGCGAATTGCAAATACATCCCTAAGGGTCCAAGTACCTAATTATCATATACTGTCCCAAATTGTAAACTACATAACTACTATCCTAAACCCAAGTACCCGATTCTTGGGTCCTTTGGACCTGGGGATACCGTCAGTCTCCAGTTACATTTTTAGCTTTCGAAGAACCCCTTCATGAGCTGACATCATGACTATATTGCAAGTCCTAAATTTCGTGTCAAACCTTTTCATGTAGGGCTTCTAGCGTCCAACCTAAACCCAAAAGCTTATAGGCCCACTACACCCTAAACCCTAAAACCCTACACCCGTCCTCTTTGATGCCTTTGAACCAAGCCAAAAATCTTTTTCTTCTCTGTGTCCGTGACGGCGGTCAAACGATCTCGCGGTTCAGGAAGTGTGCCAGTAGGAAAAGCTTGGACCCATTGTAGCGGATCCTGGAGTCTGGCAAACCATGAACATAAACCCCAGAAGCCCTAAACCCCCTGAACCCTAAACCCTAAACCCCCTAAACCCTAAACCCCCTCAACCCCCTGAACGCTAAACCCTAAACCCCCTAAACCCTAAACCCCCTCAACCCCCTGAACGCTAAACCCTAAACCCCCGAAACCCTAAACCCCCTCAACCCTGACCCTGAACCGTAGCGGGCCATGGAGAAACTTAGAGCTTCGTGTTGGATGTCGAGGGCCGACGGAGCGAATCAGAGTTTCCAACCCGAATCTGAGAGCTCAAAAAGTTTCGAGTTTAGGGGTTTAGGGTTTTATGGATTTAGGGATCTAGGGTTTAGGGTTTGGGGATTAGGGATTTAAGCTTTAGGGATTTAGCGATTTAGGGATTTAGGGTTTAGGGATTTAGGCGTCTCGGTTCAGGCAGCTTCAGCTCGTGGTCCCATTGTGTTCCACCGGCTGACTGCTAGGTACCAGACCCCAGCGACATTCCTCGAATTTCGCGCCGCGTGTGATCCAGGTGGTCTCACGATCCAGCCCCTGGCTCCGACGCCTGGTCTCGGGGTGTTTGCTTGGGCAGACCCTCTCAGTGGTCCTACCGCTCTCAGTCGCTGTCTTTCCCTAGGCCGACTGCTTTCCCCTTGGCCGTGTGGTGCTTGGAGGTCAACCAGCTACAGGCCTTTTGTCTCGGACTGGCCATCCACTTGCGCTGGTCAACAGTATACAGACTGTTTTTAACCCAGACTGGCCATCCGTCTGCTACGTGGTGCTGGCCTACCTTCTACCGGCCTTTTGTCTCGGACTGGCCATCCGTCTGCTACGTGGCGCTGGTCAACCTTCTACCGGCCTTTTGTCTCGGACTGGCCATCCGGCTGCTACGTGGTGCTGGTCAACTTTCTACCGGCCTTTTGTCTCGGACTGGCCATCCGTCTGCTACGTGGTGCTGGCCTACCTTCTACCGGCCTTTTGTCTCGGACTGGCCATCCGGCTGCTACGTCGCGCTGGTCAACCTTCTACCGGCCTTTTGTCTCGGACTGGCCATCCGGCTGCTACGTGGTGCTGGTCAACTTTCTACCGACCTTTTGTCTCGGACTGGCCATCCGGCTGCTACGTGGTGCTGGTCAACCTTCTACCGGCCTTTTGTCTCGGACGCTGGTCAACCTTCTACCGGCCTTTTGTCTCGGACTGGCCATCCGGCTGCTACGTGGTGCTGGTCAACCTTCTACCGGCCTTTTTGTCTCGGACTGGCCATCCGGCTGCTACGTGGCGCTGGCCTACCTTCTACCGGCCTTTTGTCTCGGACTGGCCATCCGTCTGCTACGTCGCGCTGGTCAACTTTTTACCGGCCTTTTGTCTCGGACTGGCCATCCGGCTGCTACGGTGCTGCTCAACCTTCTACCGGCCTTTTGTCTCGGACTGGCCATCCGGCTGCTACGTGGTGTTGGTCAACCTTCTACCGGCCTTTTGTCTCGGACTGGCCATCCGGCTGCTACGTGGTGCTGCAACCTTCTACCGGCCTTTTGTCTCGGACTGGCCATCCGGGTCATCCGGCTGTTACGTGGTGCTGGGCTTGCCAACCTTAAGGGCAGGCCTCTGTCTCAGATTGGCCATCTGTTCTGGAAAGTGCTGGTCAACCTACTGGCTGGCCATCCGTCTCGTACGTGGGTCCACACTGGGCCTTTTGTCTCGGACTGGCCATCTGTGTGAGGTGCTGGTCGCAGCTTATCCACCTGTTTGGTACTCGCGCTTTTCTTCTGATTGTCTCACTACTAGCCGGATGTTCGGCTCGGCCATCCATCTGGCACTGGTGAAATGTGGTGGTGTACAGGACGCTTGCCGCGAGGGTCCCATCTCTGCGAGCGTGGTCTCTTTTGTCCTTTTTAATGTTGTGTCTTTGGGCCTCGTCCCTGGCTTGCGCCGGCTTGTGTAGCACTCGTTGCCCCGCTCTTGCGCTCGCCTGAGGCATGCAGCGCTTCTGATGTGCTCCTGCCTGCCCTGGTCCTGCGGCGCCTTTTCGGGGGCTGTTTGCACTCCTCGCGCTCCGGCTGCTTGGATGTGCTCCCCCCGGGTGCCCGCTGTTGTTTTCTGTGTTTAACTGAATTGGCTGCAGCTTCGGCTGTTTTTGGCCTTGCAAGCTTCGCACCGGATCGTCCGCATGCGAGAGAGAGAGAGAGAGAGAGAGAGAGAGAGAGAGAGAGTTTAGGGATTTAGGGTTTAGGGTATCCCTGTATCCAACCCTATCTATCTTCATATCTCTCTCTCTCTCTCTCTCTCTCTCTCTCTTTCTCGCTCTCTCTGTCTGTCTTTGTATGTATGGTTCTATCGATCCTTTGGTACCCATGTATACATATATGTATATGTGCATATGAACAACCGAAAGGTAAGTCGGTCATAACAACAACAACAAGAACAACAACAAGAACAACAACAACAACAACAACAACAACAACAACAACAACAACAACAAATGCAAAACATGAATATGTCTATATAAATGCACGCACACATACAAATATACCATATGCGCACATGGGCATTCCTGTAGCGGTGACAGGGCAATATCCTACAAGGGGCTCCTATTAGGGAACCTACAAAGCTCTTTTCGATTAGGGAACTTACGAAGGTTTTTTTCTAAGGGTTGCTTTTGAGGTTTCCAGGCTGGTTTGGAGCCCATAAACTTTGAACGCCCGCGGACTTTAACAAGCTTTGCATAATGCAAGACAAGATCTGCCTATCGATCTTTCGACCTCGCGATCTGTCCATCTAATTATCTATCTGTCTTGGTATCTACCGACAAACATTATAACCACATGTATACATACAAACATGCATACATACGTAAAGATTTGGCAGGGCCCTGTATGCAGAACGTGAACCATCGTCTTGTTGTATATAAGCATGCAAGGAAGGCCCATACACGGTGTGGCACACGCAAGAGATGTTGAGACATCGGAACTATTCCGATCACTATCGAAATGCATCAGCTCCTTTTGAGCAACATGACCAGTTCAAGCAGTGTCAGTTTGAATGACCAGGTCCCAGTTTCAAATACGGGTAGCCCTATCAGCAAATAAGCATTGCTGAACTGTATTCCGGTGAATGGTTCTTTAAACGCTGTGAACATGTTACATGGAGAAACGACAACAACATCGACAGGGAAAACGATAGCGACAACGGCAACAGTAACACTAGCAGCGACAGTAACTAACACTAGCAGCAACCATAACAGCAACAGCAACAGCCACAACAACGGCAACAAGCACAACAACAACGACAACGACAACAGCAGCAGCAACACTACCACCCCCAACAAGAATAATAGGAACAATAACCATAAGAGCAATAACAGGAAACACAAGTTGACAACAACGGTAATAACAATAACAATAAAACCAACAAACACAAGCAAAACAACAATAAACACCATGACAGGCACAAGACCAAAGACGATATATAATAACAACAATAAAACACAGCAGCCTTACTTGTAACTTAGAACAACAACTGCAACAGCGACCGCAGCGACAGCGACCACTTTCCGCAATAGATATGAATCTGTGTGAACTTTTGTGTGTGCATGCATTTCTTATTTGCATGCGCACGCATTTCTGATGTGCGTGCACGTCGGTCTGTATGTACTGCTGGGTTTACGTGCCAAGATGTCGTACAAAGTAAAGCCGCCTCTTAAGTTCTCGAATCTTTTGGGAAGCTTGCTGATGGAGGCCAAAAGGGGGGGTTCAAGATTCTTGGGGTAGGCATTCCCTAATATGAACCCTATTATGGGAACCCTAATCCCTACTAAACCCTCAAAGGCTAAACAAACCAGCCGGCTTATGACCCAAGGGAGTCCAATCTACTTTTAGGCTGCGGTGGAAGGAACCCTAAACCCTAAATCCTAAACCCTAAACCCTAAACCACAGGAGACTTTCCTAGCACAAGCCGACGGTCCGCCCGTCCTGAGTGGTGTCCAAGTAGAAGAGGTCATTGAAGTACCCTGCAAAAGACTGGGTTCGTCAAGGAATTCAATCCTAGTTACCGTAATATGGGAGTTTCCGAAAATTAGGGGTACCTTATATGGAGATCCCGATAATAAGGATCCTACTATTTAGGGTGCTATATTTGGCTCCCTTATTTTTGGAAACTCCCATATAGGGATCTATCTTGAAAAAAACGGTTTCCTTATCATAAATCCCTTAGCAAGAACCCAGAAGAGTCCGGGCTCCAGGACCTTCAGCCCTAAACCCCAAACCCTAGCTTGGGCGTTTCGATAAGGCTTCATCCACCGCAACGTGCTCGATGAAGGATGGCCACAACCCCAGTGGCATGAGACACCCCAAACCCTAAACACTAAACCGAAGCTTGAAAGGGCCACCAACAGGTCCTGTTCTATCGTTGTCAGGCTCGGCATCCTCACTGTTTAGCTCTACTGACTGCTGTTAGGCCATAGGAACTAGAATCGGATGTTGGGATGTAACATTTACTATACCTGTACTTGTGATTAATCGGAACCCTAAGGAATAATGTAAGAAATCTTCAGACCCCTACGTTACATGTTCAAAGCACATGTTTGCGGCTTATGTGCATCACCCTACTTCCGTTTTCTGTTGTGTTTGGGGTTGATACTTACTTGTCCAGTATCCTTAAGAACCAAAGCTCAACCTTTGGGAGTATATTAGGGCCATATAGGGACCACAATTGTAGTGCCCCAGCACGGTAAAAGGTTGCCTGCTCTACTACTAGGAATAGTGTCCTGACCAGTTACTTGTACGCTACCTATAGTATCCATTGTAGTTCCCTTTTTTGGCTATCCAGTTCTATGGTTAGGATCCTATACTGATATAGATTTTGGTTAACCAACAAAAGGAACGAATGGAGACTATAGTTATGTTTCTTTGGAACAGACTGCACCGGAAGGGAGGAAGGAACCTGCAAGTGCAAGCACCAAAACCAAATGGGAGTTGCCGACAATTAGGGGTACCTTTCTTCGGGGTCCTTATAATAAGGATCCTACGATTTAGGGTGCTATATTTGGGTCCCCTAGTTTCGGAAATTTCCAAACATTGAAAACTTGAAACCCCACCAAAGACCCTAAACTGCCCCTAAATCCTAAAGCTGCTACATGCGAGAATACTGGCGCTGGACTAAGCCCTAACACCTAAAATCAAACACCTCACAATCAATAAACCTCAAGCACAAAAACTCAAAATGTTCGAAACCGATTCCGTCCTTTTTGTCCGAAGATGTCGCCACCGAAGATCCATAGCCGATCCTCGTCTGCAGGACGCGTGAACCCCAGGGTTTAGGGCTCAGGGTGGAGAAGTAGATGCCTTGTATAGGGTTTTGGGGTATGTAGTCGTATGTCATTAGAAGATGGACGACCAAGAAAAAGCAGGTGACTTTGGCGGGTTCGTCCGAAGCACCCTGATCGTCCAACCCTAAGTACCCTTGTAGAGGATCCCAATCATGTGGGGTGGTGTCAGACTAGTGTCAGACCCCTAAGCCCCTCAACCCTAAACCCACAAAGAGAACCCTAAAACCCACCCTAGCCCTAAACCGCCTCTAAACAAAATCCAGGCTCAACCCTATGAACGAAATCCTCAACCCGCGCGTGCCCAAACACTAAAACCTAAATCCCCAACCTAGACCCAAGAGTAACCTAGGAATAAAAAGGGTGCCCTTTTTGGGTTTAAAGGGGTTTATAAGGGAACCCAAACCCTAAAAAAGGGAATAAGGGCCTACTCTGGGTCCTAGCAACCTTCTTTGCCCTGAACCCGAAACCCCACAACACCCGAAACCCTAAATCCTTAAACCCCACATGCGGCCAAACCCTGGACCCGTAAATCCTAAACCCCTAAAATGAAAACCCCTAAACCCCAAAACCCCTAATCCACTAAACCCCTAAACCCCTGAGCCCGTAACCCCCAAATCCCTAATACAGGGAACCCCAGAAAGTTGGAATATGGTTTCAGGGTAGGATACCTTATAATTTACCATAAAGGGCTTAGGATAATCATATTCCAACTTTCTGGCTTTTACCCTAAACCCTCCAGCAAGATTCATAGGGATCCTTAGGGGTGTAGGGGGAGGGGGGGTAGGGGGCCTTAAGGCCCATAATAAGGACTGATAAGGCCTATTTAAGGAAATATAGTCCCCTACACCCCTCCCCCCTACACCCCTAAGGATCCCTATGATAAACCCTCCAGCAAGATCCAGGCGGCCAGGTAGTCCATGACCGCGACATGGGACTCCCGACCTTCAGGGTTTAGGGTTTAGGGGTTTAGGGGTTTAGGGTTTAGGGTTTTTTTTTGGTTTAGGGTTTAGGGTTTAGGTTTTTTTTGGGTTTAGGGTTTAGGGTTTTAGGGTTTAGGGGTTTAGGGTTTAGGGTTCTCAAAGGGTCCAAAGGACCCCTAAAGGATCCGTTCAGGGTTGCTAGGCTCCTGCAGGGGTGCTATAAGCATTCGGGTTTAGGGTTTACCTAAAGGGTCCTAAGTACCTATAGAATTAGTGGAATGTAAGGTGTGTATATTGGGAATTACTATTATGATTTGGGAAGTCCCCACTCCCCTGACAGGAATCATAAACCCCGGAAAGGAGCCCTAAACCCCGGAAAGGAACCCTAAACCCCTGAAAGGAACCCTGAACCCGTTAAAGGAACCCTAAACCCTTGGGCAGTATCCCCCATAACAGTACCTAGGGCCCTCGGAACTTGCCCCGAACCCGCGATAGGGGTTTGGGGTTTAGGGTCCCCTTTCTGGGTTTAGGCTTTAGGGTTTCGGGGAATAGGGTTGGGTATGGGGGTTTAGGGTCCTTTGTATTTGTGCTTACTAGTTCCCAGGGTTCTTTGAAGAGTCTTAATGAGGGTTCTATACGGGGTCTTTTCGGAGTTGGACAAGGAGGTCTTATTGCTTGTAAGGCCTGTTTAGGGAAGGAGTCTTCGGTGCCGAACATCGCTTCTCGGTGCAGAATGAAAGAGCGAGGAACACAGTGTAAGTACCATAGCGTCCAGAAATGATCAGGAACCAAGAAGAGGCCAGCAAAGACTATAAGGGCCTTGATATTTATAATCGGGTTTTGGGGCCCAATATACGATAACTCTAATAAGGAGCCCCTCCTAAACAGGATAGGTACCAATTAAGGCCCCTAAATTACATTCTCAACTCCACTCGTGACTTGCCCTAGCCTACCCTTCTGTGGGAAACTCGAACATTCTATGCCAAGGCTGAGAACTGGGCTTACGACAGGGCTAGCTTGCTGTAGCCGTAAACCCTTGCTGTGAAACCACAGGCCCTAAGCTTGGTGTGAAACAGGCAAGCGAATGCTGGTTCTTGTTTACACTGAATGTAGTCTAAGCTACAATAGCTACTGTTCAGGGTTTTGGGGCTTAGAGATTCTAACTTAGACTTGGGCTGTCATACCAGGGGCATCGTATTTCTTGCCATAAACCCCAATTTTTATTATCATAATCTAAGCTATGTTCTTGAACTAGAACCCAGTGTGTGGGTGTGAAGCTTAGGGTGAGGATGTTCTGAGGCTAAGGGTGTTGGTTTGGGGGTTAAGGTTATTGGGATGGGTTGAGGTTTAGGGGTTTAGCGCAGCGGTGCTTGCTTCAATTTAGCTGTACCTGCCACTACCATAAGAGTTTGAGCTAAGGCCCTCTGAAGACAATTCAAAACCCTAAACCCTAAACCCTAATACTATTCAACCCATGTAAACTTACCGGTCATGGTAAGACTTGCAAGGTATATTCCTGGCACAGGACCTCTCTACGGAGTACCCTTAACACTACTCCTTGATGAAAGACTGTTGCGTGCAGAAGACCCAACAGAACCCGGAAAAAGCAGCCTAAACCCTAAACGTGAAGAAGCCCCTATTAAACGTACTCTCAAGCAACCCAAGCAACACTTAGGAGCCCCCGTTTTGAAAGTACGTAGAGCGTAGAGAAGTTCATGAATGACCATGGGTTCTTTGGTCAGGTTTCCTGGGATCTTTGGGAGCTTTGCGATTCTCCCCCTAAACCCGAAACCCTGAACCCCAAACCCTAAACCCATAAACCCCAAATCCCTAAACCCCAAGCACCAAAACCCCAACCGCTAAACCCATAAACCCAATTCCCTAAGCCCTAAACACCTTACCACAAACCCTGCCGTGTGGTGCGGTCCGTGCGGTCCGGGACGTTTGCCGCTCACCACTCTGGAGAAGGCCCGTTTGAGGTCCTCGCGATCGGTCCCGGGTCTATCAAAGGGGTTACTTGGGGGTTCAGAGGTAGTTGTAAGGGCCCCTTTAAAGGGATCTATAGGGATTCTATAAGGGTATAGGGTTTAGGACCTGATCGGAGTTTCAGGTGTAGTTATAAGGAAGTTATAAGTCCCCGCATATGAGTTATAAGTATAGTTACCCTACTCTTTTCACCCTACTTGTAAGTACCCATGAACCTCCAAGCAGGGTGTTAGGGTAAAGGGGTTCATCAAAGATGCTGGAAAAAGTATTGAGCTTCAGGTTCCATATAAAGGATGTAGAAGAGTTTATAGGGCTTAGGCTTCCATAAAGGATGTTTAGGGTTTATGGTTCCATAAAGGTTGCATAGGGATGTATACGGGCTCTGTGTAGTGTTGCACAAAGGGTCCTCTTCGAAAGTGGGGTTTCTTTCGTAGGAATTACGAGTATGGATTGGGCAATGGTCCCCCACATAGGTACTTAGGACCTTTTGGGTCTTGTCAGGCTTCGCAAGAATTAGGGCTTATGGCTTTGAGGGCTTGGGATGAAACTCGCCTGAGGATTGCTCAAGGGCGTTGCTTGTGCGCCATATCGTACACACCTGGACCCAATGTAAGTCCGGGAGAAACCGTCCGGCTAGCCTAAACCCTAAACCCTAAACCCTAAAACCTAAACCCTAAACCCTAAACCCTAAAATTAAACCCTGAGCCCGACACCCTAAACCCTAACCCCTGCAGAAATCCTACACGCTGAACCAAGGCCCTGAAGCCCCATACTCTCTTGGCAAACAACGCAGAACCTCGCCGATCCCCGCGCCTGTGGGAAGTATCCCGATCCCGATCGTAGTCGTGGTTGTCCCACTGGTGGACATATTGTGCCAAACCGGTGGATCCTGCAGGGTGCCCAAGAGTCTTGACATCGGTTGGGCAAGGGTTCAGGGTTCGGGCGCTGCGTTTAAGTTTTGGGAGTTTCCGCAGATAGGGAACCCAAATTATACAATACCATCAATCTCTAAATAGTAGGATCCTTATGAATTGTAAGGACCCCAACATAAGTACCCCTACTGTTCAGAAACTCCCATTTAAGTTTTGAGCGGCTTGGCGCTGGTGTCGACAGTCGTAGGCGGGCTGAGGCCTTCGCCAAGGTCTGATCTCTGGCACCTCCCACTATGGGCTATTAGACCTTAAGGGTACCTTAATCTACCCTTAATAGGGTCCTAATAGGGATCTTTAGGGTCGAATAGCCCATAGTGGTCTGAGGAGCTGTTCAGAGTTCAGCTGAACCTTCACATCCCGGCCACTCTGAATGCCAAAATCGGCAGAAACGGGTTAGGGTTGAGGTTTTTTTGAAAAAAATGGGTTTAGGGTTTAGGGTTTAGCGTAGAGGGTTTAGGGTTTTAGGATAGCTTCGGCACTCTGGAAATCGAGGCTTGGGGATGTGTCCTTCAAGGGTTGTGGTGTTGGGTTCGAAAGCACCGCGGTCGTGGTCGTGGTCTTCACGGCTGTCGTCGTCGCCGTGGTCATTCTGGTCTTGGGGTAATACCTCCGGAAGAGACTTGAAATTGAAGCGACTTGACTTCCCCCTAGACCCTAAACCCTCATCCCAAATCTAGGCCCAAACCCCAAATGCAAGCTTCGGAGTCGAACGACACGGTAGGAACCAATCGGCATAGCCTGAGCCTCTTTGTTATATAAGGTTTCGGAGTCTCCTCCGCCTTCTGTTGAAGCGGCCATTAGGTTGACAAGCCAGGGTTATTCCTCAGAGCTACCATTGCTCTACCGCTGGCAGTTCTCCGGGATATGGTCCCTCTACAGTACTACAGCTCTACAGGGTCATTGAACCCTAAACCCAAACATAAACCCCAAGCGGTCATTTTTCCCAAAAAACCCTAAACCGTCTGACGTAATCCTTTATGAACGGAGGACCGCAATTCAGAGAACTATCCGTGAAAGGCTTCAAGGACTTGAGGCCCGAAGAAAAGAAACAAAAATGGTTTAGGGTTTAGAGGTTCAGGGTTTAAGGGCTTCGGGTCCTTTTTAGGGGGATCTAGAGGGGCTCCGTTAAAGGGATCCATAAGGGGTCTTAGGGTTTAGGGCCTTAGGCATAGATCAGCGCGCAGCCATCATAGACCACAACCAGGAACCCGAAACCTGGTCCGATTCTAGAACGACCTTTACACCGTTTCAAAAACCTAGAGCAACCGAGAACAACGTCCCTAAAACCCCTAAACCCTTCAACTACACCCCCCCTTAGAACCATAAATTACAATGCTATGGTTTAACATTCTCTTGGGGTGTTATATGAATAAAAATTTCAAAAAATAATTCCTAAGGAGACTAACCTGGATCCCAAAAGTATGTAGAAAAATAGCATTTTTATAAGCTTTGTGCCATTATTTTACCTTCTTCGGGGGGTCTGGGTATAGTCAAAAGGGATATCCGAAGTCTTCAACTCCACCCCGGCGTTAACCCCGAGCCCTCAGCGAGCCTTCAATCTAGTTGGGTTTAGGGGTTTAGGGGTTAGGGCTTAGGGTTTAGGGGTTTAGGGGTTTAAGGGTTTAGGGTTAAGGGGTTTAAGGGTTTAGGTCTTAAGGTTTGGGGTTCAGGGGTTTAAGGGTTTAGGTTTGGGGTTTCAGGGTTTAGGGGTTTAAGGGTTTTGGTCTTAAGGTTTGGGGTTTAAGGTTTAGTGTTCAGGTCAGTTGCAGGATCATAAAGTTGGTCAGCAAGAGAAAGATATACGATGGAGGCGATAAGTCTATCGTATACCTGGACCCTCAAAGTATGTACAATAATAGCCTTTTATAGGTTTTGGGCCATTATTTTACCTACCTTTGGGGGTCTAGGTACCTGTTATGTAAAGGCTATGGGCGCCTTATCTAGCCAGGATCCGGGTCTGCAGAATAGTGAGGACCCTGAAATTTTGAGCTTAGGGATTAGGGTTTAAGGGTTTAGGCTTTACGATTTAGGGGTTTTTTGGGTTTAGTGCCTACGGCTTAAGAGGTGCGGCTATTTCAGATATCTTAAGGCTCTTGGTCCGCAGGCAAAGTACTTCTTCGGCCCGGCGGACTTCTTGCGCGCGTAGGGCCTGCGCCGCCTCCTCCTGAAACGCCGCATCGGGCGCCTGCCCACGACATACTCGTGGCTCTTGGGGTCTGCCTATGGTCTCCATTGTAGTTCCTTTTTTTGGTTAACCAGTTTTATGGTTAGGACCCTATAATATAGTTTATGGTCGACCAAAACAGGAACTACAATGGAGACTATAGTTGGGATTCCGGGTTCCTTTACACGGGTTTAGGGATTAGGGTCAGGGTTGCGAGGGGGGCCGGAATGGTTCTAGCGGGACCTTAAGGAGTCAAAGTGTTCTTACTCAAATCACAAACTCACCCCAAACTCCCAAAGAAACAACTCGAGAAAACATGTTCGTTGCACAGCTGCCGCAATCTTCTAAGACAAGCCGTGTCCCGAATTACCAGTTCCACTGAGACTTGAGCTCGGGTGTCGAGGCTGGGGCGCTGCCAGCAGTTCGGAATTACTAAACCCCTAAGCCCTATTGTCGAGAGCCTTACCTTGAGCTGCAGGCTACAAACACTGGCTGGGCTTTGGGACAGCCAGCAAGGATAAAGTATGAAACTTGCTGCAAAACGGTCCGTTTAAGGAACAGGTCCGCCAAACGCGTACTAAAGGGTGATTGTTGCGGAAGCTCGGGTTCAGGGACTGTTGAGCCACTGTGGGGTTCAACAGTTCTCTTCATCGCAGTCCCCGTCTTTGGGTTACCTTCTAGAATCCCAAATAAATATGTAGCTGGTTAAGCCGCAAAAAGAGCTAGGAGTATAAGAAGGGTTCAGGGCCTGGGCCCCGCCCGGCCAGATCCTGACCTAAAAACCTCCCAAAGGGTCCTAGGTCCTGGGTACAGTTGCGGGGGGATACTTCTCCAAATCATACAACACTTTCTATAACATGGACCCTAAACCCTGAACCCCTACCTGGACCCCAAACAACCTGCCACTTTTTAAGGACTTATATAAGGAAATCATAATACAGAACCCTAAAAAGGCAGGTTTCATAAGTAGGGTCCAGGTAAACCCTAAATCTGTATACTGGGTTCTCGGATCTTCTGAGCCTCTAAATCCTCGAAAGCCTCTACTTGGAGGTTCATGGGTAGTTACTGTTGATGATATAAACCCTGCATTACCCATAATAAGGAATATACCATAGTTCCCATAGTCTAGAGTCCTTAAGGTAATGCAGGATATATATCATGAACCGATATAGGTAGGGGTTATAAGTAGGGTAACTACACTTGAAACCCCTGTTAGGGGACTTATAAGCGACCCCACGCATAAATACCCCTGAACCTCCAAGTATCTTCGACACGACACGCCGAGTCCTTTTTATACCGAGACTCACAGTCCCCCCCCCCGCTACCCATGGATTAGGGTTTAGGGTAAGGGTTTGGGTGCAAACCTCTAGAAAGCATCAACAACCCTTGCAAGGCACCAACAAAAACAAACCCTGAAATCACAAATGCCAATCGCATAGATCTCGGACAAGATCCTCAAAGATAACCCTTCAAACTCCAAAAGACACAAGCCTAATGCCTGTTGTAGCGCCCGTTGCGCGAAGTCTGCGCCCAGACATCCGTACCGAGGGAGGCGCTCACAGTTCCCAGGTCGTTTGCAGCCTGATGTGTTTGTACTTGGAGGTTCAAGGGTAGTTATAAATGCGGTTATGGGGTTCCTTCCATGGTTCTTTTCAGGATTCCTTTAAGGGTTCTGTAGGGTGTAGGGGTAGTTATAAGTGGGGCTATAAGTCCACCAATATGGGTTATACGTATAGTTACCCTATCTATAACCCTACTTGAAAGTAGCCAAACCTCCAGTAGAGACTCTGAACACCCTTGATTTAGGGCGCTCACAGGGATTACATGGCACTTGGTCGGGTTTAGAAGCAATACTTCGTATAGTGGGATCCGTGGCTGATCGGAGACGATCTTGCAGACCATGATAGAACATACGCATAACAACAGTAAACCCAAAGATAATATACGCTGACCAGGGTAGCATCGCAAGGGCAAACACAATCAGGGTAATGGTAAGAACAAGTAGAGCAACAAGACTTTTGACAACAGCAACAACGAGTATACATATAACAACGACATAACATAAAGGCAAGGGCAACGATGACGAATATGCTTGTATTGTTCGTGCATAAAGCTGGGTAGTTTAATATTTTTGCAAACACGCCAAAAGCAATACCCCTTAGGGTCCAAAGAACCCAATAAGGTACTCGGTTTTAGGATAGCAGTTACGTAGGCTAGGATTTTGGCAAGCATGCGATTATTAGGTACTTGGACCCTTGGGGTACTCATCGTTTAGCTCATTTTCCTTTCGGGGTGCCGGGTGCGCTCTCCTCACTGGGGTATGGCTCGATTCAGTCTGCTGCAAAATGCGTGCTGTCAAGGAGCGGCGTGCTTTTCTGATGCAAGAGTTTGAGTCCTGATGACGACAACAAGAAGGTTGCACTGTTAGCTTCAGTGGTCCTGCGGAGTCCTTCCCATGCAGATTACAGCTGAATGGGCCGCCTGCGTTTTACGTCTTGAAGGCTCAAAGATTGAAGGCTTCGGGCACCTCACGAGTATGCGAGCAATTCTCTCAGCTTTCGGAAATGGCAAGAGTCCTTTGCAGTAGCGCAGCATCCTCACACCGATCTGTTGGTAAAGCGCTGAGTGCCCGCAGCATGAAAGCCGACGCCAAGCAAACCATGAAGGGAGATACTTTGAACCTCCACTGCACAGAATCCATGGCCCAATACCTATGCCAAAAGGCTGCTTGGTGGACCGGGCCGAGTCTTTGCTCAGCATTTCATACTGAGCCCGAAGTGGCATCAACAAGGTCGCGCCTCACTGCATGCTTGCTCAACAGTCCTACACTGTTCAGTTGCAGTGCGAGCACCAAATCGTGTGCTTCGGGTTTTGCTCGCAACCATCGCCGCAAAGAGCAGTTAATCGCAAGCCAGTGACAGTAGAGGCCACAACGACAAAAGTCGTTGATAGTGACTTTCGGACTCGGACCTTGACTGAAACTGCGAGTTTACAGAAATACCTCAGGCAACCTATCCGCGCTTTCAGGGTTCCGCTGTTTGCTCTACCCCCGACGCTTAGACTAATCAGTCCCTATATGACTATGCAGCAGTATACCCTGAATCCCTGTTAGCCTGCAAGCGGTCATCGTAGCCATGTAGCAGAAACCCTCAGCCCCAACCGTAACTTCAACGTCACAACCTTAATTCTGAAGCAGAAACCCCAATTAAATGCTCCCTGGCCTGACGCTAGCCGATAAGCGTCCATCTTGATACTAACTAGCAGCCGTCATAAGGTATACCCTAAACCCTAAACCAGGTCGGATACCAAGGAGTTGGCATAACTAAAATGCCTGAGGTCTCTGGGAACACAAGACATGGGAGTTTCCGCAAATAGGGGACCCTATAATATAGTACTAGGCCCTGTCTCGGACCTAGGATTACAATGTGGAAACTGCCATACAGCACAGAAGTCCCCTCGCAGCACAGATTGCGGCTAGGCCGCCCCCGCGGCCGGACGGGCACAGACAAAGGAACCCCGGTGTAATCCTGAAGCAGATCCCCAAACCGTAAATCCTACCTAGACTGGAGGCTCATAACCTACCCCTTTTTTAGGGTGCCTACGTTTTAAGATAACAGATCCTAACCATAAAACTAGGTATCCTGAAAGAGGGGTAGGGTATGAGCCTCTAGGTACACTCTGAAGCTAGCCTGTACATGGTCAGCTTCAATCCTGAAGCAGACCCCTGTCCTTTCACACCTCTGCAAAATGATCGGTAATAAGATCGTCGTATTAAGCCCAGTAAGGGAACGTATTTATCACAAAAACCAGACCCTAAAACCCCTAAACCCTAATATCCGGAAGGCCTACTTCCCCCATTCCCTACTAAGAACCCGAGAGACTGAACCCTGGAGTGCAAGGCGGCACCCATTTTGCTCGTACTCTGTTCGACGATCAGCGCTCAAGGAACTGCTGCATCCGGTCACGGTTCGGGCTTAGAGCTTACCAGAAGGGTCCAAATGGGAGTTTCCGAAAATAGGGGTACCTTATTTAGGGGGCCTTATAATAAGGATAATACTATTTGGGGTAGTATATTAGGGTCCCCTATTTTCGGAAACTCCCAAATAACTACCAATACTGTTCTGGGGGGTTCCTTATTATAACTATAGAAGTATATGCCCCAAAACCCTAGTCTAATTATTAAGGCAGGTTTCGGGGTGCTATATAGCTGCAGGCCCAATTACCGCCCACTTTTGGGAGGTACTGCCCAGCCTGCCTATAAACTACTTTAACATAGGGGCCTTAATAACAAGAAAAGGGCTACGGGGTGTCGTATATAATACCGTATATAGTATACACAACAAAAGGATCCACCTACATGTCCAATCGTTAGAGGAGGGGATACAATTGCTAAGGAGGCTGTGGTACCGCGCCACGGCATCTAACCTACTAAGCTTACTGCCCTGAAAGACCCTAAGGTTCGAACCACAAACCGACACCCTGTTAGTCTCAAGCCTTACAAGCCGCAAGCTCTCAGACCTTACAAGCGCTTAAGCAACTGGCACTGGCAAAAGCAACTGCAGGATTCCTGAAAGCCTACACTGGACCTTGAGATTCACCTTTAAGTGTCTGGCTCTTAATACTTGGAGGGTCGGGGGACTTAGTAACTGGTTATTTTAGGGACTTATAAGTACCATAACCCCAATTACTGTCCCTTTTAGGGTACTTATAAGTCTACTTACTACCTACTTACTAAGTCCCCCGACCCTCCAAGTAGGGAATGGGGGAATGGATTCCTATGATAGTCCGTTAAGGTCCCCAAAAGTAGTCCCAATAACCCATTCCTTACAAGCTGCCCCCATCCTGTAATAGTGACTATAAGGATTATATAGGATTCTATTAGGGCCCTGTTATATTCCTATTATACCACTATTTCAGGGTGGGGGCAGCTTCTAACCCATTCCCCATTTCCCTACTAAGAACCAGACTGTTGAGGATGTATTAAAAAACACCATAACTAGCTCAGGGGCTGAGTACCCTAGCCCAAAAAAGATTAACCTTTTCAATTATGGTAGGGCTTTATAAACCCGAAAAGGTTAAAGGTTACCTACTCAGCTACTAAGCTAGGGACCTACTTGTCGGGTATCATGGGGAACTGAAGGTTAACCCTTCTTGGTTATATAGGGAAAATATAACAGGGACCATACTACCCAAAACAGGCTAAAGGTTACCTACTCTACTGCTAGGTAGACATATGGGTGGCTGTCAATATTAGGGTCGCTTTTGGGGTACTTATTATAATACGGCACCTAATATTTAGGGTACCACAAAAGGGGGCCATAACTAACCCGTGGTTTTGAGGGTTCCCTTGGCTCTTTAGCTCCTTAGTTAATAGGGATTATCATCATCCCTGGCTCCTTAGCTCCCCCAATATCAATGGTTAGATAATTTTGACAACTACCCATATGGGAGTTTCCGAAATAGGGTACCCTAATATAGTACCCCAAATAGTAGGATCCTTACTATAAGGACCCCAAAATAAGGTACCCCTAATTTTCGGAAACTCCCATATCGGTTTTCTAGGCCCAAGGAAGGGTTTAGGGTGTCCCTCGGCAGACTACTTCGGCCCTCGCTGGGCCCAGCCTGGGATCGATTCCGAATTCCGGCGCTTTCCTTAGTTGCCCATTTTTGTTTGGTAGGGTTTTTGTTTTTGTTTAGTAGGGTTTTTGTTTTTGTTTAGTAGGGTTTTTGTTTTCGTTGGTAGGGTTTTTGTGTTTTTGTTTTATAGGTTTTTGTTTTTTAGGAGAGTTCTTGTTTTTTAGTAGGGTTTTTGTTTCTTTTTGGTAGGGTTTTTGTTTCCTTTGTTGGGTTTTTGTGTTTGTTTTTATTGTTTTTGTTTAGTAGGGTTTTTGTTTTTTGTAGCATTTAGGATTTATGTAGGGTGTAGGGTGTAGGCGCAGGGTTCAAAAAGGGATTCCTTAGCTAACCACAAGGTTTTTGTCAAGAGTTCCATGTAGATTTCAGAGTCGTAGTGTTGGGATCTACGGGGTTCTTATCGGGGTTCAGGACCGTTTCATGGGTCTCGGGTTAGGGGCTTTAGAACCCTAAACTTGCACTCTGAACCCACAACCCTATAGAACCAAGGTTTACATTCCGAAATCCTTTTTTGAAACAGCCTTCATGAAATCTACATCCTACATCTTGTAAGCTTAAGTTTAAGCTTAAGTCTTACCCCCCGAATACTACAGCCTAAACTGCGCCTAAACGGTATACCTTAAGGTTCCAGTCCCGAGCTGTCAACACTGGACCCTTGAAGCCCCAAAAGTATCACTGGTTGGAATAGAAAGTCTAAGACAAGTTTTCAAGATAGGCGGACAGCGATTAGCGATGCACGTTAAGCAACGCCAAGAAGGGAAAACCCAAGATAGCAGTTCTATAAGCACCCCTCACCGCAAAACCTTAAACACCCAAACCCTGTAAAGCCCTAAGCCCCAAACCCGAAACCTCTTTCAGAGCTGTTGAACCAACCGTTTAGAAGAACCCATCAACACAAGAACCCATTTAAAGTAACCCTCTATACCCCAAACCCGAAACCCCTACACCCCTAAACCCTGATCAAACCGTAAACCCCTGAACCCCTGAACCCTAAATCCTCTAAAGCCTAAACCAAGCCTCCGACCGGCCAGTGCTTTTGACAGGCCCGCGGCGCCCTCGCATCCAGGCTTCACAGTAGTGGCCTTTACCTGCTCAAGGCTTTGAGGGCAGTAGGGTTTACCTCAACCCTAAATAGTTAAGGACTTACATAAAGAAGTCACAAAAGGTAACCCGAAAAGATAGGTTCTTCAGGGTCCAGGTAGGGTTTAGGCTTTATAGGGCTGCAGGATTTGGAGAAGTTGTTCGTTTTACAGTCTAATATAGGAACCTGATTAAGAAACCCCGGGCCTATAACCCCAAAACAGTAGTAAGATCAAAAACCCAAGGATTCTTAATCAGGTTCGTCCTTAGGACCCTAGGCTTTGACGGGCTTGGCGGCTTCGGCGCTTCAGATTCTAAGACTGTTGTGTCTCTTGGTCATCAGTTTGTGCGCTTGCCTAGCTAGCCGGGTTTCCATACCTACTTGTCGGGTCGGGTATCATGGGGAACTAAAGGTTAACCTTTTTAGTTATATAGGGATTATATTTTGAAGGGTTCCTATTATGCTTAACACTAGCCCCCTTTCCGGTGCACGCCTGATGGCTGGGAGCTGGTGCGGGAATCAAGCAAACATGTTCGGGGGGCCTCGTTATGCTTAACACTGTCCCCCTCCCAGCGCTGAAGTCCTGAACCACGGGTTCATGTCCCCCCACCCTGCCCTGGCCCGTTTCGCTTCGCCCCGCCCCGCCCCGCCCCCCGCCCGCCCCGCCCCGCCCCGCCCCGCCCCGCCCTGCCCCACCCCGCCCCGCCCCGCCGGTGGATTGTCCTGGGACCAAATCGTTGACAGTGGGTTCGCCCAAAAAAACCCAGAATTTGACACCAGGGGCTGCCCCAGATTTGGACCCAGATCCTAAAAACTTATGTTAAGCATAAACGGCATTCCCAGGAACCCGGCACCGCAGAATGCCGGCAATTCCTTACATTTTTGCTTTGAAAGTCTAGCAATGCAAGGAATCACAGCTGCACCACATTTTTGAGAAACTCTTCTGTGCACAGCGTCCTTCGCGCTCAGGTACTTTAGGTGCTTGC